CTTTACCGACAAATAGATGGTGTAGCTATGGGCAGTCCACTTAGCCCTGTTTTAGCAGATATCTTTATGTCAAACCTTGAGAAAACAAAGCTGAAGCATGCAATTGATCAAACAACTTCCTATTGTCGATATGTCGATGACACATTTGTAGTATGCAACAACGAAAGTCATGCCTCCTACCTACTCAGACTATTCAACAACGCACATACAAATATTGTATTTACTATGGAACATGAAAATGATGGACAGTTCCATTTCCTTGACGTCGCCATAAAACGCCTAGAAGATGGTAGCCTCCAGGGGTCAATCTACCGAAAGCCCACATGGAATGGACAATACTTACATTTTAATAGTTTTTGTCCAAATAGCTATAAACGAGCACTAGTCAAGACTCTGTACTATAGAGCGAGGAGAATATGCTCTGCAGAGAAACTAGAGGAAGAATTCACGAATCTCGAAAAGGTGCTGAAAAACAACGGCTATACTCAAAAATTCATTAACAAATATGGAAGATGTGAAGGCCCAAATACCAAACAAATCACAGTCGAAAAAAGCCTGTCTTCATTCAACTAGACTTTAAAGGTGAAGACATTGCAGAAATGGTCAACAGAAGACTGAGGACGTCACTAGCCAGAGCCTATCCTGCAGCTAAGTTGGTTCCCGTCCATCGAACAACATGCTCTTTGGTGCAGTCAAAAGTCGATAGATACCCTTCTCATGTTAACTCCAACTGTGTATACAAATTTACGTGTATCTGCGGGAGCAGTTACATTGGGAGAACAGAAAGAAGGGCACACCTCCGATTTTCTGAACATGTGCCGAAAAGCCTACGTCTCAAGGGAACAAACTCTTATAGCAGCGCTATTACCAGACATCTCCTCGACACAGGTCATGAGGTGGAAATCGAGAAATCCTTCAAAATTATCAATAGACAAAGGAGCTCCATTCTCCTCAAGCTTGCCGAAGCAATTTCTATCAAACGCTTGAAACCAGATCTATGTGTTCAGAAAGAATCAGTTATTAGTCTTTCCTTGCCTTGATAACTGAATGTCTTTTTTCTCCCATCTGATTGCGTAATCTTTGTCTCTAACCTCACCCTCTTTTATATTCTGTAATTTTGTTTGTCTCTTGTTTCTATGATTTGAGTTCAACTCAGTGCATTGTTACCTAACTTATTAGTCACTACATCCAACGCACATCCCATCTTTATTATATGCATACATTTATTTATTATTATTATTTTTTTAACTTGAACTGCCTGTGTAAAAACTATATAAGCGCAATTTTCTGAGCACTGTTTACTAATTGTGAAACTTTCTGCCATCTGACAACATGTAAAATTTGCAAGTATGTTAAAACTTTTCTGTACTTAAACCTGAAAATTTATTTAGGCTGTAAGCAGCTGACGAGAAGCCAACGAAATAAATGATGGTACCATGTTATTCTGCACAAATCAATGTTGTTCTCGCTTAATTCAAGAATATCTTTCCATGAGTTGTACTAGGTCCACTCGATAAACTTGCCTACTACCGTGCTTCCAAAAATAAACTTCTAAGCGCCAAAATGGCTGAAAATTTCTCTGGAAGATGTGGGGGCATCTGTGTGTCAGAATAAGGATACTTTGCTGTCTGGAACAGAATCAAGGTGAACCTTTCCAGTATAGGAGAACAAAGAATTTCGTCGAAGCATCTGAATCCCAGTCGTTTCACTTCCATTGGTCAACTCGCTTGTCTCTTCTGACTGGATAGAATAGCAAACAGTTGGGTTTTCAAGGAACAAGAGCGCATGGTGACTGTATACCCCTCTACTTCCTCCACACAATTGTTAGCAAATGAAGGCCTGAAAAGCCTTGAGGGTGATATTTTCTCCTGTCCAGTTAGGGCAGTGTTAATAGCAACCAGGCGGTGTGGAGAAAGTCCAGGCATGGCAGTATATGTGGCCATACAACAGTTGTGAACACTATTTCTATTTGAAGCCGGTCGGGAACGAATTCGGAGTCACTGAAGAATTTTAACTGGTTCGCTACACAAAAATATTTAATAGTTTAGAGGTTTTGGTCTAGGTTGACAGGTTGTTGTAGTAGTGCTTTATGCAAGTGATACATCTAAGTCAATTACTGAAGCTGCTTCTCTGTTTGCTTTATTCAAACGGGGTTTATGTAACTCATTCTCATATATATCCGTTTGCAACTGTTCACTAGCAGTCAAGCGACTGAAAAATGTTATGGGAGGTTCTGAAGCTAGGCATGCTTTAGAATGGTGGATGATGATGCATGGTTAATTCCCCAACAAGGGGTTAACCCATGAGCAACTTTTATTGTACTATGAGTTTCGAAACTTCCTCAAATTGCCAAAACTGCCAAATTGAATCACAAGTGGCACATGTATATATGGGGTGTTTTGGAATCCTGCTTAGCTGACAATCATCAGAAGAAATACCACAGGCTTGGAGACGTGAGATGTCTAGTCGGTTTCGCGGAACGAGGTTAGAGATATTGTGTAATAAAAAACTATTAGAGGACAGGATCCGTTCAGCATAAACAAAGATGACATGACGCATCACACACAGTCCGAATTCGGTAGGGTTTCAGAAATATTTTCGTAAATAGTATCACAATAAAGTTTTAGGGGGTTGACGGAATTCTCTTACACCGCCTCTAATTTTTTAGTTCTCGCGTACCAACAACAAAGCAAAAGCCAATATTTGATCGTCCAAACTAAGTGATATATTTCGGGACCAAAACAAGCCTTCAGACGAAAGCTTAGCTAGCTAGTGATCGTGCACGTGACACGACGGGGTAACAAATGGCGGGGATACTTGACCGGAAGCCTTCAGCTAAACAAGTCGACTTAAACAGTGGTGGTCAGCATCCAATGGTGAGTGATTGCTGTGGTCAATAATTTCGGGGAATTATTTACCGCTACAGCTCACTCCCCCCCTAGTGGGGTCGTGAGGACCCTAAGACAGAACCAGCCGGAAGTAAAAAAACTCGATGGTTCCCTTCCGGGTGAAAAAATCTTCCGAGCGGCTTGGTCGTATGCCTACTGGTTTGTCTGCCTATGCTAATAGGGTGTCTGTACATAGCTTCCTTGTTGTTGTTTGTTGGATCCCGTGCTTCGTTTGTTTCCTGTCCAGTGCCCGTCGCACCTGGAAAAGAAAACAAGAACGCTAAGAACCATGTCGAGGAAAATGTACCAAATCAGCGTTTTTTGTTAAAAAAATGATGTGCATTTACTACACAGTAAAATAATGCTAAATACAGAACGTCGAAAAAAATACATCTAATTAATTTTTTTGTGTATGTTACATGAACTGTTGAAAAAAAATTTTTGTGTTCGGTGGTACTGTATATAAAAAAATTGATACGTCAAAAAAAGTAATTAGTACCACAAACGAATGAGTTGCGTGAATCACACGACTTCATTAAGTGAAATAAGTGTGCAGATATTCTGGGAACCTTACGGTGCGTCCAGAACGGGTTTTCTTGGGAGGCTCGATAGAAGGTTCGGTAGCTGTCGCTGTGCTAGTGACTTCATCGAGGTCTAAACGATCTTCTGTTACTTGTGGATTTTGGGGTACGTTGATCTCTATGCTAATAGGATTAGCCTCCAAGTAAGCCGGTTTCAGTATAGCCTCGACCTTAGTAGCCAGTGAGCGAATGCCCTCCCAGTCAGTAGTGTGATCCAGAAAGTCGAGTGAGTCAACACCGATTTGACACTTTTGAATATTAATGGTAACACCATGTTGGCGTAACCTTTCAAATGCCAAGTCCAAATGTCTAAGGTGAGTTTCCTTGTCTGGACTGGCAATGAGGCAGTCGTCTAAGTATGCGTATACAAAGTCGAGACCGCGAAATACTTCATCAATGAAGCGTTGGAATGTTTGGGCTGCATTCCAGGGACCGAATGGCATACGCAGAAATTCAAAAAGTCCGAAAGGCGTAATGATAGCCGTTTTCGGGACCAAAACAAGCCTTCAGACGAAAGCTTAGCTAGCTAGTGATCGTGCACGTGACACGACGGGGTAACAAATGGCGGGGATGCTTGACAGGAAGCCTTCAGCTAAACAAGTCGACTTAAACAGTGGTGGTCAGCATCCAATGGTGAGTGATTGCTGTGGTCAATAATTTTGGGGAATTATTTACCGCTACAAAGTATAGAAGAAGAAATGGAAGGAGCTTTAGCATTGATTCCATTCGAAGAATTCCGACGGTAAATAAGATCACGACTGTTTTCCTGGGTAGGGATCGATAACTTTGAGGAAAACTGGGAAAGCGACGTTCGACCATTATTAAAAGCACGAGGAATGCAAGCCAACGAGGGCGGTTCTCTCGGTGAGACTCAAAACTTGCTTAGGTTTGGAAAGTATAAGTTTACCAAGTGGTTGTGTAGCAAACCGAAGCTAGTCGTAGCGTCGTAGTCCGTTGTCACGATGACTCACTGACAAATTACCTTTCAAGTGATTTTTAAATGAAATCCTGCATCAAGAACTTCATGGCGTATATAATGTTGGTGGCACGGCGCACTTGAAGTGTGTTAGTTTCTCCGGACTTGTGTTAGGAAATGTCGCATGATACTGAGATGTGAGCAATATAATCGCAGAAAAGAGGGCGGTAAGTTCAAAAGTTAATCCTATATTTTCCCATTTTCACGATATCCTGTTAGTATATTTGTCCTACTAATGAAGCGCTACTGTCTTCACTAGTGTGGTTTATACCAGCCTATCTAAATGAGGAGCCACCGATCAAGCCTCTTTCAACATTCAATGATTTAGGGTTTTCACATTTCAGCAATCTCCATCTTAGTTTTAAAACAATAGCATGTGTCTGCACTGTAAATATTGAAGTCCGTAAAAGACCTCAGTGCCACGCATATAGTGCATTAAACATTTCAGAGGTATGCATTTTGTTTACATTAGTGTCTTAGCAGTAAGTTGGTTCAAGCACCAAATTCTCAAAACTCAGGGTCGTTGCGGCAAAGGCGCGCTGTTGGGTACTATCAATGGATTGGGCAGTCGGACCTAATTATTATTTACTGCGAGCTGTTCAAATACACGGAAAGGATTGGGATATTGTCTGCAGCTCTTTGAAAGCTCTTTCTAAAACGTTTCTGAAGAAGGAAAATCTACAGGGCCTCTCGAAACAGGTAATCAGACATAATTTTTGGGTGTTATTTAGTGTTAGAGTTGTTCACTACAATACAACTACATCATAGCCTCCACCCGTCAAAAGTAGTTACATCTTTCCTTTAACAAGTTTTTGCAGAAACCCTGGTGACCTCACCGAGAATCAGCTGCTGACTATTGCGCTTGATCGCTACACCACATTGCGGCGTGAGCAGCTACATGCCGTTAGGTTAGAGATTTTAAGAACTTTAAAGTAAGGAAGTCACTTTACGGCTTACTTGTAGGATTGCAGAAGAAGATGCAGAGAAGTTGCGACAGGCCGAGTACTCTGAAATTCCCTCGGACCGACTGATAATGTATGTGATGCTATACTCTATATTGTCACAGTTACAGGAAGAGATGTCGTACGCTTGGGATACCTGATAAAATAGGTCAATGTCTGAATCTGGGGCCTCTTTCTCCTGTTCCTGAGAAGGAGAATAAGGTATCCGAGGGGTTCCCTGCTTCACCAAAACGTCCAAAAACAGAAATGGCTAAAGAAGTGGTGGACAAAGATGGTGGTATTTGGCTTCCTGTAAGGTCATCGTGTATTTCCGATTTGTTCAAGGAAAACCAATTAGATGACCACCATGATCGCACTACGAAATTCGTGCGAGAACAAAGTAAGTCTGACCGTCAAATTCAGTTTTGTTCATACACACATTCATAATTCGAGCCTTGGGGTCTAATTTATGTAAACCGTAATTAAATGCAAACTGCATAGCATCTTCAACAGCACGGAAACGAGGCTTTGTTCTAAGTGGCATGTTCTTTGCACATAATATATTACTGGAATTTTCTCATATGACAGGTTTGGTAGTGAAAAATATGCCTAACCGTTGCTCCTACCCCTATGCATCAGTTCTGAAATTCTTGGCGAGTTTAGAGTAAGATATGCCCGCTTACACTAGGCATTGATTAATATATGTACAACTTATAATGTATTGTTTTTTCGTGTGATTTCCTGTACTGAAAGTCGAGATCGTGCAAGACTCAGATTTGTGTAATCATCCGTTGAATAGGGCGATTGGGGTTCTACATGTTTTTTGACCTGCTAATCAGAAATAACATGGAAGAGAGGGCTTTTCGGGTGGTAACGAAACTCACTTGTACGTACCTATGATAGAGCCGCACGTAATCTAATTTATTTTATGGAAGTTGTAGCATCAAAATAATGAAATTGTACGAGGAAGCTGGTTTTTATGATTGGAGCCTTCAAAGTTGTTTCAACCATACTTTTGTCATACTAATTCACACACAAGATGACAAAAAGTGTTGACAACGACTGTGAAAAGTTTGAGAAGTAGGAAGAGTGTAGTGGTGCGTAATGCTCATGAATTGTTTATGCTGAGTAGGGGTCGGTTTCTAAAAAGCATCAGGATAGAAATTCGATAATCTAAGAATAGACCAGCAGTATGCTTGCTGCAACAGCGTATCTGGTCTTTAGCAACCATGTTTCAGCTTGGGTGACAGTCTCTCTAACCTGATGCTTGGCGAAATTGCAGGACATGGTGGTATCACTCCATGTGTCTCGAGGGTGTCAATGATAGATTACCAACTAGATTAATGAGTGCGTAATCTATATTGATCATCCTCATTGATAAGAAAAAGCACAAATGTTCCTGTGATGATCACAGGGCAGTCAACTCTACTAAGATTGTAGATTCCATGATTCGACGAAAACTAAGTAGGTCTCAGGAAAAACAAACTCTAGAAAGCCTGGTAGGCTTCAAAATAAGATAAAGGTATGTTCATCATATATTTAATTTTCGGGAGGTTGTGGAGCATTAACAAAATCATCGGCGTCAAATGTTTAGCTTCTTTCCGGGTGTGAAGGTGGTGTTAACTGCTTCGATCGAGAGATGGTGTGGCAAAATATTACCGTGAAGGGATTACTAAGAGTATGTTGTACTAATCAAGGCTTTACTCGAAGTAATACAGTCGTGTAAGGGCTCATGGAGAGCTGTTATTTGAAGTGAAGACTGGCAGTGGTGTTCTTATAGGATGGCCATTGTTACTATTTTCTTTCAGTTTCATTATTTAGGTACTAATGAATGTGTCGATGGTCAACGTCGATGTTGAATGGATTGATTTGCCACACGAAAGAAGTCTCGTTGCTCAAGAATACGTGGACGATATAGTTCATTTAGGTAAAAACGGTGAGAAAATGTAGTTTTCTGAACAGCCTTGCTCAAAAGCCTTAGTGTTATTATCTGCAACCATAAATGTACTGATTCCCCCTATGAAACTCAGACTCAATTGGCATGAAATTCTGCAATGATCATTCAGTCACTATTTGACATGACTTATGTTCGGAACAATGATATGTGTTAATGTTTTCATGAACAAAGTCAGTGAATTGTTTGAAAATGAAATAACTTTCAATCTTTCCAGGTGTCATTTCCCAACGACTTGGTTTGGAAGGACGAAATGATGACATATCAAGTCTGGATACAACATCATCGGTTCAAACTCATTCAGAAGTATGTTTATTTTGCTTTTGTTTCTTTATAAACACGTGGTGATGCTTTTTTGGTAGTACATCCACTAAGAGAGTTTAACCTGACCTTGCGCCACATAACATTCTCCACTAATTTCACTTCTTATCAAGAGTAAAAAAATCTACTGTTATTTGGTTTACAGGTGATAAGTTTATCGGGAAACATTGAAAAGCTAAAGGTTTCTTGGGAAGTATTCTCAGCCCCTGAGCCTAGATTTCCTGCGAACTGATTTTGTGGAATAACTGAATGTGATCGGTGACTATTCAGTGAGTGAAGACATTCAAGTGGTAGGAATTGTTTATTTCAGAAATCCAAGGTTTGAGCTCGTAAGTGGAACATTTGTGTACACAGAATTTTTAGTAAACGATTTTGTTGCTGTGGAAGTTAGCTGATGTTCCCAAATGATACTTTCTATTGCTCCACTTTCCTTTCCATATCTCCTACCTTAGGTTGCAAGTATTCATAATCAAGAAGTCAGAACCGAAGACCCACCACGACCATGTGAACCTCTTACACATTTTGACCATGGTTCTAGTGAAACCGAGTTACAAGGAGGTCCCTCCAAGTGTTTAGAGGTCCACGCTGAACCAATCACACCTAATAGTCCGACAATAGTAAGTGATTCTGAAACACTGGCTTCTCCACATTTTACTCAAAGTCTTAATTCAAGTCCTTCACTAAGCAACATCGAAGTACAGTCCCCATATTTGAAAAATGCCAATCGTAACCGAAAGCGTTCACCAACAAAACGGAAAGACCTACCTACAAGTGCTTCAACTACTACTGCTCCACTCGTGTGTGAAAATCAAGAACCAGAATTCACTTCAGGTATTGTCTTATCTTATTTTTGGTTATAAAGCTTATTTCCTCTTGCATTTCGGATTTCATAGAGCATAATCAGTTTTGCCTGAAGAGCTTTCCTAAATAAGACAGGACTTTTGATTTTGTGCTGACAAGTTCATTTGTATTTGTAATAAGTGGCATCTATCATCAGCACCTATGTATTGTCTTCGTTAAATGTTGATTCATTCCGCGAAAAGTTTTACTTTTTCATCCAGCATTTAACTCTGATAAGTAGACAAGAGCTGGTTAATTACTCACTGCAACAATACCCGAATCTGTGACTTTTCGGGAGGACACATTGACCATGTTACTATCTCAATAAATTGGAATCTGAAACTTTTTCTAATGCACGGTATGAAAAATTCCTGTATCGTGTGTTTAAGAATACACAAGTCAGCAAAGAGATCCCTTTGCAAAACTCCTCAGTAGTAAAAGCGGCTGGATGAGGCCTTTCTAAACACTATTTAGTTTTCTCCTTATGAATTGCTAACGCTTCGGCTGCATGAAGGTGTAGACGAAATCCTTTCGAACGGCTTCGAGGTAATATATATATATATATATGACTGAAAGAAGTCTTTGCTGATGCTGTGTGACCAAAAGTTATAATGTGCTTGGGAATTGAGATGCTGACCATTCCGCGTTGTCCTCTTGACAGCCATGCTGGTAATGTTCATGGGCGCCTTTGGACAATTTCCTGCTGGTATGATCTGTGTGGTTAGCTCCACAGTATCAAGTGAATCGGTAAATGCATATTGAAGTTGCCGACAGTGGGATCTTGTCTTTGATATTTTGGTTAACAAGAGAGTGAATTCTGTGTTCAGAAAGGTTTTATGCAGCCTCTCCTATTACCGTACCCCCAGTGCAAACTTTTGTTCTTGTTTCCCTGAGTAGCTGTGTAATAAACTCTATGTAGTACTTTTATTACTCTTATGTTTTGCAACCCATCTTCAGTCCTTTGTTTTACTGTTTTTTACCGGTTATCTCCAAATGGTTATTCATCATTTAAGTAATTAGTTGTCGACCCTCTTGACTACGCGAGACTATTCTCAATTTCTTCACGCATTTTTATTACTCATACACTGATTTACTTTGTTACCAACTGACAATAACCTCTAAACTCTGCTGTCAATTAACACTGCATGTATGAACCTCGTAAATAACTGTACAACTCTGAAGTGGAGTTATGAAAAGAAGTCTCTTTGCTGACTCGTGTATTTTTAAACACATGGTATGGAAATGTTTGATACCTTAAAGAAATTCTGTTTAACTGCGCTTGAGCTTCGTTTTTGTGTTTGACAGTCATTGGTTCTATCGATAATTTTATCTTTTTACGTCTGCTCACCCAGAACTTCTAACCGAGATGTGAATCGTGGTTTTTATTTTTATTTTACTTTGATTACAGCTTGATTCCACATCGTATTATTGGTAAAAGTATGAAATTTTCAGCATGTGGTATCGATAGACCAGATTTTGCAGGCCGGTCATAGATATCAGGTGTGCGTCGGCGGTTGGTCGAACCCCGGATCATGTGCATGGTCGTCGAGAGTCCTAACCCCTGTGATATAGTCGTTTTTATAAATATGTAAACACACAAATGCATGAGTTTCATTTGTCAACTGTGAAAACACATATCGAAAAGAAAATCAAAAAGCACTAAGGGAATTAGGATAGATATGAAAGTGGGACGACTATATTTTGTCCACTTAATTTTGTCTTAATATCTTAAATATTTTCTCCCAGTAATAGTTCATCAGTGGACAGTTGAAGCCTCTACATGATCAATATTGTCTCCTTGAAGTCTCCACATACAGAAATCTGAAATTACATGTTTTGCGTAGTTTGTTGTGGGCGTAACTTTAAAATTATTGTGCACGTTAGCACCAGTTCATAACCATCTGAAGATGAAACGTGGGATTTACCTCTTCATTTGTGGAGATTTGGCTCATTGGCGTAAGCATATATATATATATATATATATATATATATATATATACTTCTCAACTTTGTTAGGTGTATCTCACGGTAGTGGTGTATGGCAAAATAATTTACTTGCTCTTCGTCTTACTGCCAATAACTTGGGAAGATTATGAGTTTTTATTATAATTCGTTTTTGCTAGCCGCTTATTTTCCCCACTGTTTACCATGAACATTTACTTCCTTACTACATATCATGTAGCTCTCAGTCCAGCAGTATCAACTAACTTGGCTAACGAAGAATGTACAGATACAATCCAGTCGATACATACTATTGTCCGCCGGTGGCGCCGATCTCTATTATCAGCACTCTCCACAGTATGCAGTCATCGTCATGCTTATGTGTTCATGCATCCTGTAACTGAAGATATCGCTCCAGGATATAATACGGTTGTTTATGAACCAGTGGACTTAACTTCTATTCGGCGCCGCATGGAGTCATCACTCAGTTGTTTGATTGGTGCTCAACTGTGTACAGCTTCAAATTTACCTGTTTCGTTTTTTCAAGTTATTATAGATGTTGCAAAACATTTCATACGAGATCTTTTGTTGATGATTGCGAATGCAAGAATGTACAACAGCCAAAACCATGAAGTCCATCGAATGGCTGGGGAAATGTACCATGATATGATTAGTGAAGTAAGTTTTGAATTTATCCGCAATTCAACAAAGACAAATTACTAAATTGTTATTCATTGTAAAATGTTGCAAATGCAAAAAGTAAAGGGAAGTAATAGATCAGGCTTTGCCAGGATAGTTTCATATACCTATCCAATACTGTCTAAAGCTTTGTTTTTGTGCATTGTATTATGTTCCCAATTGATATTCATTTAAATTTTCACATAGTTTATTCTTAAACTATAATAATGGTCCTTCACTTGTTTTACTCTAACTTCGTGTTGACACTATGAATTAGTAAATCTCAAATGCACCAGATTTTCCAGCTTAAGAAGTGCAGATTTAGAGTCTCTAATATATAACACGCATTAACAATTAACTATGCACAAGATTTCCTAAAACACCATTCTCTTCACAAAGTGATCATTTCAAAATCACTGGAATGATTTTTATTGTTTCCTCGTTTTGCATTGAGTGTAAATGTTTCCTGTGGAGTTCATTATTGTTAGTAGTAAAATTTGTCTACAACTTCCTTTAGGAACTTGAAATATTCAGATCATAGTAAGTGGTCTCCTTAACACTAAATACCACCAATAAAGCAAGCAAAATATGGGACACAACGATCACTTTGTGATGACATGGGTGGTCTCCATTTAGTTCAGCATAATTTTCACTCTGGAATTAATACAGTTTAATAATGAGACTTACTTTTACAAATACACTTTGCTGATTGTCGGTCAGCTTTCTTGATCGACTGATTTCGATTGATTTCACTCGTCATTTCGTTACTCAAGTAGATTTTTGACAGAATTCTATTTTCGATATTTGGCAGCTTCAACTTCCCTGGTCAGTCATGGCTGAAAACATTCCAGGCTTCCCAAGTCTTCCTGATATCACCTCAGATCTCAAAAAGCCACCTAGAACAGTAGTACATCAGACGCCGAGTTCAGCAGACGCTAGTCCTTCTTATTCTGCTTCAGTCGTCCTCAAGGAAGAGGAATCAGGCGGCAGCAAGCAGTGCACTGTTCCAAATGCCAAACAACTTGAACATCCTACTCCTGAGGTAATGAAGAAATTTGATAATTGATATTTTTCGTTATATTACTGTCATGAATGTAGCCACTGTATTGCATAGTAGTACTAGGATTGAAACAGAGTAGGGACTTCGATGTCGGACTTAGACGCGCTGATGGCGAATACATCTTGACTACGCTAACACCCTTATCCATCAGCCCACTGTACGTCGCCACACTCCATGTAGCACACGAAGCAAAAGAAGAAAGCACAGGAAAAGCATAATAGAGACAGTAAGCAGAGGTGTGAGACAAAGGAAGAGTAATAACGAAGAACAAATTGGAAATCATAAGTCACAAGGAGTGGATGCCTCTGCGCTACTGAGAACGATTTTGAGCCATGTCACCAATTGTTTCCAACCATTGGTTTTTACCGTCCCGAGGACCCCAGCCAGGAAGTCTACACCTTCCTACGTGGCTTAAACTAACTGTTGTAGATTTCATTGATTGGTGCCATGTTTTTGTTTGACCTCCGCTAGCTCTTTTCCAGCTTGACCCTATATCCTCTAACATTGCTCGTCGAGGGAGGCGATGACTTGGCATACGTAACACATGTCCTAACCATTTCAGTCTTTGTAACTTCACAACTTCGATTGATTTCCTCTGTTTACCTAGCACTCGACGCCTAACCTCAATATTACTCACCGTATTATGCCACTTTACACGGGAAATAGAGCGCAGGCACCTATGATCAAAGACAGCTAATATTTTTAATGTCCTCCAATCTCAGTGGCCAGGTCTCACAGCTATAAAGGAGAACGGAGCGGACTGATGAGCAGTACACCCGCCCTTTGGTCGATAGTCGAATATCTCGTCTACGCCAGAGACGGTGTAAACTGGTATAGGCGAAACGAGCCCCCTGTATTCGTGCTGAGATTTCGTCAGAGATCAGCCCGTTGGGGCTGATGGTACTTCCCAAATAAGTGAAGCGGTCAACGTGCTCTACCACTTCACTTCCTATTTTTAAGAGTCGCTGAAGTCACTTGGGGTTAAGTCCATTAGGACATCTATGATGAAGTTGAATAGAAAAGGGGATAATGGGCATCCTTGACGGACACCGCTAGTGGTCATCAGTTCAGATGACAACTCGCCGTAAGCCCTCACCTGGCTGCATGAGTACGTGTAGAGTGCCTTGATCAGTGCAATATATTTTCTCGGGATTCCAGCCAAGCATCTCCAGAGAACTTCTCGGTCGACAGAGTCGACTGCCGTCTTTAGGTCAAGCAATATAATGACTGTTGGACGCCGGTAGGAATTCCTATGTTCTAGAATCTGTCGGAGGGTGAAGATATGATTAATACACCCTCTTCTTGGTCTAAAGCCTGCCTGGCTCTCTCGTGTTTGTGCTTCCCGAGTACCACTTAGTCTACGCATGATTATTGAGCCTAGGACTTTAGATGCCACATTAGTCAAGCTAATCCCTCTGTGATTATCACACGAAGACTTGTCTCCCTTCTTGTAAATCGGGATAATCAGTGGCTTACACCAACCCGATGGGACTTCTTCTGATCCCCAGACGCTGCCTAGTACCTCAGTTGATGCAGACAGAAAGCTGTCTCCACCGTACTTAAATACCTCTGGAGTCATTCCATCAGGTCCCGCTGCTTTGCCTAGTTTCAGATTGGTGACAGCTTCAGTAACCTCGGTTAGGGATGAAGGACCTGTGCCTATATCCCATTCTGTCTGTCTGTCTGTTTTCGACATAGAACTTTGCACAAATGTGCGGAAGTTCAAGTCGCCACATTCCGTGTAGCACGCGAAGCAAGAGAAGAAAGTACAAGAAAAGCAAATAGAAACAGTGAGCAGAGGTGTGAGACAAAGGAGTAATAAAGAAATACAAAACAGTTTCATTGGAGATCATAAGTCACAGGGAGTGGATGCATCTGCGCCACTGAGAACGATTTTGAGCCATGTCACCAATTGTTTCCAACCATAGATTTTTGCCGTCCCGAGGACCCCAGCCTGGAAGTCTACACCTTCCTACGTGGCTAAGACCAACTGTTGTGGATTTCATTGACTGATGCCAAGTTTTTGTTTGACCGCCGCTAGCTTTTTTCCAGCCTGACCCTATATCCGCTAACATTGCTCGTCGAGGGGGGCGATGGCTTGGCATACGTAACACATGTCCTAACCATCTCAGTCGATGTAGCTTCACGACTTCGTCGATTGATTTCCCCTGTTTACCTAGGACTCTACGCCTAACCTCCATGTTGCTCACCTTATTATGCCACTTTACACGGGATATAGAACGCAGGCACCTATGATCAAAGACAGCTAGTCTTTTCATGTCTTCCACTCTGAGTGGCCAGGTCTCACAACCATAAAGGAGGACGGAGCGGACTGATGAGCAGTACACCCGCCCTTTGGTCGATAGTCGAACATCTCGTCTACGCCAGAGTCGGCGTAAACTAACAAATGCGAAACGAGCCCCCTGTATTCGTGCTGAGATTTCGTCAGAGATCAGCCCGTTGGGGCTGATGGTACTTCCCAAATAAGTGAAGCGGTCAACGTGCTCTACCACTTCACTTCCTATTTCTAAACTAGGAGCCAGCGTAGTCCAGTCCTGTAACATCATCTTGCATTTGGCGGGAGCGAATCGCATGCCAAACATTCGTAGATTGCTGTTCAAGGTGTTTAGAAGACTCTGCATTTCGTCAGCGTCTTCGCCTAGAAGGACTATATCGTCTGCATATTCCAAGTCAACGAGATTATTCCCAGGTAGCAAGTCAATCCCTGAATCGCTGAAGTCACCTAGGGTTAAGTCCATTAACACATCTATGATGAAGTTGAATAGAAAAGGAGATAATGGGCATCCTTGACGGACACCACTGGTCGTCACCAGTTCAGATGACAGCTCGCCGTAAGCCCTCACCTGGCTGTATGAGTACGAATAGAGTGCCTTAATCAGTGCAATATATTTTCTCGGAATTCCCTTGACAGCCAAGCATCTCCAGAGAACTTCCCGATCGACAGAGTCGAATGCTGCCTTTAGGTCAAGAAATATCCCATTCAGGGAGGTGTTGGATGCTCGGAAGGTTGAGCGTGGCTGTGGGCAAATTAAACTGCTCCTCATAATGCTCTTTCCAACGATCCAGTCGTCTATCCTGGGAGCTAATTATAGTGCCATTTTTCTCCGAGATTGTCTCACTAATGATTTGTCTTCTCCCACCCGTTTCCCTGATGAGTCTAAAGAGTTGCCTGGTGTTTCCTATCCTCGAAGCTTTCTCCATCTCTTTGGCTTTTGTCGCCCACCACTGTTCACGGTCCTTGCGGAGACTTTTCGTAAGTTTCCTCTTGTGCAGCTTTCGCTCCTCATTGAATTCGGAGCTCGCCGGAATAAGTCTTCTAGCATCTATCAGTTCGGATGAGGCGGTGGAGATCCAGTGGTTTTTACTCACCTTTGGGTTTACCTTATTCACAGCTTTTACAGCTGTATCTATGGCTGCCTGGATATTTTTCCAAGCTTCTTCAGGGTGAGCACAGCTGTCGAACTCAGATATGTGTTTAGCTAGTTCTTCCTGAAATACGGATTTAGTTTCCTGATCGAGCTGGGGACGTGATGGTTTTACCGCCAGCTGTTTCCTACGTCCGTTCAGTCGTAAGCACACCCGAGCGCGGACCAGTGCATGGTCGGTATCTACGCACGTGTTCCAGAAGGAGCGACAATCTCCTACCGACCCACGCCAACGATAGCTTATTGCTATGTGGTCTATTTGTGTCCAGCGTTGGTTTGATGAAGGGGGTCTCCAAGTCAAACAGTGTCTCTCCTTGTGTTTGAAGTTAGTGCTTACAAGAAACAAATGATTATCAGAGCAGAACTGTAGGAGACGGTCACCGTTGTCGGTTCGCTGGCACGGAACTCCATAGGTGCCACCGACATCCTTCTCAGATTGACACAATTTCCCTACTTGAGCGTTAAAGTCACCAGCTAGAACGACTATGTCTGAGCGTTTAGCCTTTCACCAAACCAGACAGCTTTTGGTAGAACTCATCCTTCGTTTCATCTGAACTGCAGTCAGTGGGGGCGTAGGCGGAGATTACGAAAAGGCATCGGCGAGTAGTGCAGTCCTTCCTCCTTCTTACTGATCCGTTCAGGCGGACAGCACACATTCGGCTATCTACCGGGATCCAGTCAAGCAATGTCTTTTCTGCCCTAGTACTCAAAGCTATCCCTACGCCAGCTAATCCTCGTGAACTAGCTGTGGCATCTCCTGACACCCTCAAGGTGAATTTTGCAGATTCAACCTGTTGGCCAGGTGGGGTTAGGTGAATAACCACACTTGGGTCTTGTATGCGTGTTTCTGAAACACAACATACATCAATGGCTCGTGATGCCAGGGTCTTGGCTAGTGATGCTTGTTGTCCTATTTGGCAAAGTGTCCTAACATTAAATGCTCCTATATGAAATTGGTGGCGCGGCTTTAAGAGGCTGTCGGTGGTGGTTTTTTGGCTTCCATCGTTTTTAGTGGACGCAGAGGGGAGAGGAAGTGATGAGCCGAGGAGTTGCATCAGTGGAAGGAAGGCAAGATGATAGAGATGAAGATGAAGAAAAAGATGAGTGAGTAATAGAGAGGTTTCGCGTGCATTTCGGATTGTTAGGGCGATTGTTACTTCCCGGCTGCCCACACCATGGAAGTTGGTTGTGTGACCGCAGAGCCCAGGGGACAACAGCTTGAGGCCGGTCACCCGCGGCCTGCTTTTGTTTGTTCTTTATTGTTTTATGTGTCTCAGTAGCATATTTATCACTCCTGCCCTGTGACACGGCAGCAGGGAGCGCGGTCGTTGTTAATCCGGGCCCCGGTCGATCCGGCATGATATTTTGTGATTACTTATGTATCATAGTGCTGGATTGGGTAGCTGCTTTTTGTTTAATCGCTATCCAAACAACCTGCCTGGCATGGTAGGACCTCAAGAGACATAAGTCTCAGTCAGTATAGCTTGATTAGGTCGTTGCGGTGTTCAAGCCCAACCACCACGTCAAGGTAGCAGCTTTCGGTCGGGGAGACTATAAGCGACTTACTTCAATCTTCATCTCACCCTGATCATGTAACATGTGATTTGTCTTTGTCTGACTACATTTCAATTACCACAAGTCGTAAATGATCGTTGAGTGGTAACTGATAAAGCCACCTGACCCTAAGTGCGTTGATGAAAATCTATCTATGGTTAGACATAAATTCACTAATCTCGTCGCCTGAATATCCGTATAAATTTGTGATAGCCTGATAAGACTTCTGATTCTGACATTAGAAGCTGGTTATTCAATGTAAGAGGTAACTAGACTAATTTAGACTGACATGGTTATTCGCTTGTTAATGTTCTGTAGAATTATTCACGTGATTCTCCTTCGAATTATTGATGAATTTTCTGTAGTAAATTGCTTACTCCTCTACGCAGAAAAATGTAACCTAGGTAATTTTATTTTTAATAAAGTAATTATTCCCATAGTAAAATTTAGAACAACACACTTAAGCGAACAATATTGTTTTCAATTAGATCTCATTAGGCTTAACTCTAATATATATAAGTTTACAAATAAATTTCAAATATAAACCAATCATGGTGTTTTGTCTATAGGATAATAAGATGGTGAATATAAATTGTGCAATTAGTCATAATAATAATAATAATAATAATAATAATAATAATAATAATAATAGTAATGATAATGGTTTTATCAATAATAAGGATGAAAAAGTGAGGCAATCTGTGATAACACGGCAAAGGACAGACAAAAACAAACCGTAGCTCAATTTTGTCACATTTATTTGATAGTGGTCATGTAGTGGAGAAAACGAGAGCCTTCAAAGTAATTCACCGTATCCCACCGAATCTTTGCAATAGACTTCGTATTCATCTACTGCACACAGCTGAGGCGATAGGCATTCGAACTATTAAACCTAAACTATGCATTCAAAAGAAGTTTGTACAGCCATTATCCCTTCCTTGGCCTATTAAGAATTAACCAACTAATGACTTTTACACCACCCCTTGTTTATATTCTCAACCCCTTTCTTATCATCCCTTAATCTTATCACATCTTCATTAAAAACGTTTCTCATTTACTTCCCTTACAACCTTGCATTATTTAATCGGTTCATTTGTTTTTACTAGCCTTCATCGACTACATCTACCTGAACATTGGTTTGTTTAATCATGCTTTTTTCATCATTCGTTTTATCACAGATTGCTTCACTTTTTCATCCTTATTATTGATAAGTTCATTATTATTATTATTATGCCTTATTGCAAAATTTTATGTTTGACAGCTTAACGGTAAATCAATAGTCAGTGAAAGGTTGTACATAAGACTCTTGCACAATCAGTCATTTCTTACTAATTAGTGCGAGACTTTGGTTTCGCCCTTTATTGCAGAATTACTTTCATTATTGATTAATTCAGTCTAAGAGTCACCAATTAAATTCTTCGTCTGTGTTATCATATTGTTTGTTATATGTAGGAAAGTGACTATGCAAATTAAGATGGCGAATCGCAATAGCATATTGAGGTAATTGACAGTTTCTCATATCTTCTCTACGTCGAATTGCCTGTTTAAAGTTAATTTTATCGTTAGATTTTGTGTTATTTTATCGGATTTGTCATTCATTCTGAATACTTCTGTTGATTGGAGTTGTAGGCAGGAATTAGATTCACTTGGTTCATCATTAAATTATCGTGGTAGTGTATGTGGGGACATGATTTTCAACATTATGTGGTCCGTGCGACGATGTGAACGGTTTTAATGAAAGCGATACTGCAAATCCTGTAAAAGTATACTTGGTTAACCCAGTTCCCGTGTTGCTATGTAATTATGACACCTTCATTATCTGTTTAAATTGTACTGCTTTACATGACAATATAATTGTTTTCGCAGCATATATTGGCTGACTGTTTTGTAATTGAGTTCATCTAAATAACATTGATTAGGGAAGTAGAGTATTACATGATCTTTATAGAATCATACACTGAGAGCAACTAATCACAACCTGGGTGTCGCGGAAATTAGTTCTGAGCTACTTAAATAAGCATTTTGTTTTTCTTTTTGAATTTTTAGGTTGCTTCTCCAACCAGTTCTGTGTCACGTGATGAATACCGTCAGTCGTCAGGAAATGATTCTGCAGACGGTAGTGTAACAACAAGAAACCAGTAGAGCGGTTTTTGTTTACATCATTATTTACCCACCTATATTCCTACAGATGTACATTTAAATCCATTACGGATAAGATTTTATTTTGATCAATCACACAGTGTTGTACAGTAATATTAACAGATGACGTTTCGAGCATCAACTATTGCTCATAATCATATCAAGTGGAGTTATGCTCTACCACAGTACCCAAGTTTTATACTTATATCAAGATGTACATATGTATATATCTATCTAAATATATTGATATTTCACACTCGACTTTTGTTTACAAGGAAGACTGACACAAATATCGTTCAACATACAGAAAATTCCACTGTTTTCCTCTTATAGAATTTATGAATGCCTTATAAGCTTAAAGCTATAACCAACTTCGATGTAACAAAAGATGAACGTGATGGAAAGGTGAGTGCTTGTCTATTAGTACTTTCGTGTAGCATAATTACTTATACTGCATTTAACTGAGCTGTAACGTCTACTATTGTAAGAAATTAATTTCAATATTTATCTTAGGATAATTATAGGACACACTATAAGCGAATACGCATTTTTAGTAATTTTTCATCAGGCTTTAGAATTACATATGAAAATTATTAAGCATAGACGTTTGATACCAATTTTGTCAGTGGAATTAAGGTTCAGGTATAAAAATTAATTAATAATAATCCTATTAGTAATATTTGTATCTAATAATTGTGCTGAACATTTGTCTTATATAATTGTGAAGTCTGATGTGGAACTGCAAAAATTCGCATTCTATCCTCTTAAAGGAAATTAATCACCGGTCAATTCTCCGTGCAAGCACTTAATATGTTTCATGTTTTATTATTTCATGTAGTATAAAAATGTTTTCTGTTAAAACTCAGCCCTTTTAAAATATAAACTAAATAAGATGTATTCACCTAGGCATACGTAAATTTCTGTTCTGTTTTGACGTCCATTCCGTATATACATTCAGAGGATTTTGGGGACTTCATTTCAGCTGCTTTCCTGTCTACTGATTACATTCAACCTAGTTAGTGTTTAATAATGAAATGCCTACGCCATTAAAACATTATAACCGTAAGCTGTTGTTAGCTATCTGTTATAATTTGATATGTGTAAACATTATTACAAATTTTTTGTGCCATAGATTTATCCACTCAGCGTTTAAAGCCAGCAACATCTCTTGGAGTGGTATTAAATGTGACTCATATCTAGACATGGAAAGCTGTTGTAGCAACCAAGTTTATTACTGCAAACTTCTGAATGTTTCTAGGATTGATAAGTTTCAGGGGCTAAGTAGGAAATCTGTTTAGTACTTTGTAGTTTAGTGGTTTCTTGACTGGTTACGCTTTCCAGTGTGTTGTTACACCTCCAAGTCGCTTTTTCTGGATAAAAATGCCATTCACTGTACTTTTAACCAATCAGATGTTTCATAACTGTTCACCTGATCGCTCCATAGTATCTATACTGGTCACTAGGAGTTGCATGTTAGTGAATGATTTAAGTTGATTGATTCAACCTAACTAAAAAAGCAAGTATAAGAGATATGTTTTTATTATCTGTAGAGATGAAATATAATATTTCGGTGATTAACAAAATCAGATGCATTGTAACTACGCAGAAAGTTTAACTTTCTGAGAACATGTTTTTTGTTCGATTGTCCTGTGATTTGTTTTGCACTGCAGCACAACATTTGGCTTGTAGATACTTTTTTTGATTTTGTCTGCTTCAATTCATTTATCTTAAAAACTTGATTTTATTGTTAAAATCAGTTATGTGAATGAGTGTTTCACTTTAATTATTCTTACTTTTGGTAAATCCAAAAAACTTCATAAGGTTCGTGATGTATGTGAACATGCTGTTTGGAGTCTTTCATCGTGTAAACCAGGTCACGGCATTGATCAGTTGTTAAATGAATCTACAGACACATTTTGGCAATCAGATGGTCCTCAACCACACTGTGTAAATATTCAATTCCCGCGAAAAACGGTGCTGTCTAAATTATGTTTGTATACGGATTACAAAGTGGATGAAAGCTATACCCCTAGTAGGTGAGTTTGGAAATGTGAATTGATACTTCTTTTACCATAAGTATATGAAAGCATATTACTATTATTATTATTAGTAGTAGTGTAACAACAGAAGACAAGGGCTGGCAACAGATCGTTTTATTACGAAAATCAACACGTATTTATATATATTTTATGTACATTAATAAGGCTTATGCAAGCAGAAAAAGGCAGTCTTCTGATTGGTTGTTTCTCGGAAGTTAAGCAGACAAACACAGTCTTATGATTGGTTGTTTTCGATATTTCTCGGAAAGTAGAGCCATCTATCTGCGAATCATATTTGTCCACGTTTAAGTTTGCTGTGATTGGTTGTTGAAACAGCCTTGTTCATATTTTCTTACGGCCCATATTAGTGACCTAGACATTAACGTAGATTAGTGTCAACCAATCGGCTAGCAGCCTGCTCTCTCCACAGTAGTAGTAATATTATAACCACTTAAATTAATGGTTACCCCTATCATCAAAACTCTTGAGTTCTTGTCTATTAGCATACCGCCTAACATTATTGACGCGGTAGTTTCAATGTTTCTGTTTAGTCTTGTTTTTTATTTCGAATGAAATTTTCTTGACGGTTTAGTAAACCTAATTGGCGTCTGTCTTCACCCAATGTCATGGTATGTAGTAAAAACTCATATTTCGTCTCATGAAATCCCATTCTTGTTTTCCAGTAAAGTATTTCAATAAGATCTATTTTTGCATTTTTTTGTTTTGTTTTGAAGGCTGGCCATCCGAGTTGGGAATACTATTCATGATCTTTTGGAACTCCTCGAGGTTGAACTTCAAGAACCAACTGGATGGTCAGTAATCCCGTTAACTTGGCCTGATGGATCTCCTCTACGCACATTTTTATTACAAATCGCTATACTGGCTAATCATCAAAATGGACGCGACACTCATCTTCGTTCCATTCGGCTTCATAGCCCTGTAGAATGTCATGGTCTGGAAACCTTAGCTCCGTTTGTGAGTCGTGAAGGCAAGGCTTTTATGACCATTCGTTAGTTCTCGTACTGTGTTGGTTTGCCTTTTTTTTCATCATGCGAAATTTATTCTTCATATCCACTGTACTTTCTTTACAATAAAACACTATCTACGAGCATTGATCTCTCGTTCAACTTCAAAATTATAATATGCTCCTAATGTCATCTGCATTCTCGATTTTCGATGTTTTATGAGTCTGAAGAACTGACGCGCTCTGATTGCCTCGACTTCGGAAAATCTACCCGGATTATAGTTACATGGTAGTTGTGCGTATGATTGTTTATTTTAGAAAGATGTACTAAATATTGTTTTATACTCCTTTTTCATCTCTATTGTAATGATGAGGTCTTAAGGTGTTATTACGGAATTTAAGAAGTACTGTAGGCGGGGGGGGTGAGTTCTGTGTCGTGTAATTTGATTCTGCTTTTCCCTCTCTATTTGGTTTCCAATGTCATTTTTATCTAACCTACCTGTCAGAAATTATTTTGTCTCCACCTATTGTATTCGTTACCTCCCAATATGAACTTAGATTGTTTCTCAACAGTATTAATGAATTTAGACGTCAAATGTGAACGTCTTTATAAATAAATGTAGTCAGTGTTGACAGTAAATCTGCAATAGTGGTAAATCAGTCCTGAAAACAAACACTCCTACACTGGTTGTAAAGTTCACTTCTCCCTTGATTTTTGTTTCATTCATTGGATAATTCTCGTTGGTCAATGAAGTATTTTACTAGTTGTCATGGAGTGACAGCTGTAAAGTAATAATATATGCACGCAAATTTCTAAGGGAAACCAATCTGGGTTCATTGTACCGGTAGTTCCATCGCTGCAGACATATTTCGTGCTAGTTGCTGTTCTCTTTCTCATCTAACTGTCCGAAATGTTACGGACATTAACTGAGCAATAACGGACGTATCCTTTCAACCAGGTTAACTGTTGCTCACTTCTGCTGCTTTAATGCTAATTGGGTTTGCAATTCACATTGAGTATGTATTCGTCATCATTCCAGTTGCTATCTAACTATTCTGATATTCCGGGACTTAGTAGTATCTGTCGATGATCTTGGAAAGTTTACCAGTTTACATCATTTAAGTGCAGGATATCAATCTTATTTTCGCACTTAGGCAGAAAGTCTTATAATACCGGTAGGTTGCCTGAACTAGTTTTAGGTGGGATTTTGAAACTTGGCTTATTAAATTTTGACTTAGTATAGACTAAAGCAATGAAACCTGCGTAGACACTAAAAACTAAATGGGACTACAATGTCATGGATACAATTGCGAACAGTCTATTTGATGTGTGTGGCTATGGGTTTGTCAATCAGATCATGAGTAACTAAATAGTGATCACTAACTTTCAACAAGTGCTATTAATTTTTTGAAAGAAACTGAAGTCTTGCGTATGAAGAGTAAAAGATCTGAATGGGCTTAATATGTGATTTGATAGCTTGGTTCCATGGTCATTGGAAGTTCCCATAATTTCCTACTCAGGCTAGCTAGAAAAATAATTATAGTCAACCACCACCTTTAGATTAGACCAAGGGTAGGTTGTCTGAGCTTGGTGACATGTCACATATGAGCATTTTGACTATAAAAACATCTTATTTCCCCATCCGATTGTATTTGATCAATAACTCTAATAGTATTAATTCTGAATGTACACTATCCTGTATTGATTTTTATTCAAATGTCTAATCAGTTTCACTTATGTATACAAATGAAGTAAAAAGTTGTGTGAGTGACTTGATTATGAGCAACATTTTATGCTCGTAACGTCATCAGTTAATATTACTCTATGACACTGTAATTTATCAAAATAAAATCTTGTCTATAATGAGTGTTTTTAGGTCGTTCCGAACCTATGCATCGACATTAGCATCAACTTTATACTGAATGCAGGTGCTTTCGGCCAACCAAGCTGTTTTCCTAGGTGCTTTGCGAGCTAACGTCTTTTTAGGCTGTTAATAGATATGGCATCTGACTTGCACTCAGCCTTCCAGTGGCTTGAGTGGCATACAAAAGTTCAGTTGCCGGTTCATACGCTTTATTGCACTCGTTTCTTATTGGAATTGACGTCGAGAAGTTTCAGATAGGTCACAGAAACTCGGTGGTTTTTAGTGGGACGTGCTTCGAAGACTAAACATTTCTTCTCGCCATTTTCATGATATTTTGTAAGGGTACCTGGATTTCGAATTCGGACGCAGTAGGAGATAGTCATTTTGCTTAGGTCTAGGTGTTTCAATCAACGTTTACGTTCTATAAAAAATGATGGGAAAAATTTCGAAGTCAAACTGTAACGAATGACAGTAAATCACAGTTTTAGTTAGAGGGAGCCTGTACTTCTAGAGAGTATCATTTATATATTTGAATGTACAACAGACTTGAATAAGTTCACCAATCAAAATGATAAGAGAATGTATGGAAATACGAAATATTTGACAGAAAACTGATTGAAAACATGCAACTGCAGTTATTAGTATCTTGTAAATGGGCTGTCAGTGATTCACGTTACCGTCAGAAAAATAGTGAGAAGTGTTTACACATCTGAACCCAATATGTAATAGGAACTTAATGGGCTAAGTTGCATGATTTCTTGTAACCAATTCAAGGAGAAGACAGTGTGGTGACAAATATCATTTCTGAGTGCAAATGCTTATTTCTCAAACAGCAAATAGGTAACGGTTTGAAATCCACTGGAATGACATTCGTAACACATGTCGAAGACAGTATTTCAGGTGGCCTGCTTAAACCTTGGGTTAACAAAATATTCCATCACTGTGTTGCACCTAATTTGCTGTGTTTATCCTTGTTTTAATCTGTTAAAATATAACCTTTAGTCGCATTGTTTGCTGTCGCAATACTTTTGATTAGCAAGTATTCGCCAAACACAAGCAGAAGCATCATGGTGGTTGGTGACGTGCTTCAAAACGTATTCCAATCACCAAACGTCTGTTCCTGAGATTGAGTATAAGCTGATGCTCACAGATTAGTGAGATTAACTCCCGTATATCGCAGTATGTGGACAGAGACTCTTCAAGAAACTTGGCTTCGTGACCTATATGATGATAGTCTTGTCTGTCTAAATGATTTCAGGTCGCTGTGACAAGATTGGCGTAGCTGTCTGTCTGTCTGTCTGTTTTCGACATAGAACTTTGCACAAATGTGCGGAAGTTCAAGTCGCCACATTCCGTGTAGCACGCGAAGCAAGAGAAGAAAGTACAAGAAAAGCATAATAGAAACAGTGAGCAGAGGTGTGAGACAAAGGAGTAATAAAGAAATACAAAACAGTTTCATTGAAGATCATAAGTCACAGGGAGTGGATGCATCTGCGCCACTGAGAACGATTTTGAGCCATGTCACCAATTGTTTCCAACCATAGATTTTTACCGTCCCGAGGACCCCAGCCTGGAAGTCTACACCTTTCTACGTGGCTTAGACCAACTGTTGTGTAGCTGTAGTAAGAAATGTGGCGTTGGCTTTGCGAACTCTATCAGTTTTCGCTAGTCTACATTCAGCGACTTTTCTTTAGATTCTTAAGTGACTAAATCGATTGCATTGCTGTTGAATTCATCCCGAAACGTGAAGGAAAACTAAATCTAAACTTCGAACACTTGTCACACACACTCAACGCCATCTATATTTGGTGATAAGTCCACTACGCCTGGTGATTGCTTCTTCAGTTACTCTTTGTCAATAGTGACCAGACATTTCAATCCCTCTGACTGCAGTTCCCCTGCATCTCAACCTTGCAACTTGTTAATTCAATCACAAATGAGTGCAGGTATTCATTTCAATGGGAGAAAAGTAGTTTCACAATGCAGATTCCAATTATTTTACAAAACCTCATGGAAGGACACAGCTAACAGAAGCTGTATCTTTTTCTGCTGTGAAGATAGATCCTTGTTTGTAGTTAAGTATCCACTCAAATATTTGGTAAACCTGAAAGTTACACATTTTCCACATACGGAGTATTGTTTACCGTGTGAAGGTCGATCTCGGCTCATTTTTTACCGTCTAAGGGATTATAGCCAAAAAGATGAAAATGCAAATTAATTTAGATACATTGAGTGATTATTTCATTTGGTGGGATTTTGTTTATTTCTATATGACTCACCTTATACAATTAACATCAGCTTAGTCTACCAAAATTCACTTGTCTTTTCAGCAGTTTATAATACGTAAATCTACTTCGACATTGTATTTCCAGCTTTTACTGACCACTGTTAGCACATATCTGCTGATTGAAGCTTTCCTGGATGAGCGGAAGAATAGTTATAGAGTAAACGATTCTGGCTCCTGAGTTTTCATTGGGTTATGTTTTTGATGTATTAGCCAACATAAGTCTTAAAGTAAATTGAAGTAGCTTCCACAAAATTTCAGCAATGATTGTTCTTCACCAGGTCAATTAATAGATTCTTGCCATCTCAACTCAGTGGGGTCCTTGCTGTAAAGTTGTGAGACTAATTTGGTTCGACTGCTATTCATCACATATAGAAATGTATCTACCTTTCTGAGAACAGTTTCAGCCTGATATAAATGATATATTAGTTCTTGCCCATATTGAACCATTATAAACAGTCTCACAGCACCGAAGATGATAACAGATTTTCCCACGTAAAATTTTCTTCCCAGACATACTGCCCTATGGGATTTTGGGCATTTGTATCGAAGTTATCAAAGATGTAGCCACTCCTTTCTTCCCAATGTTCTCAATGAGCGTAGATATAGACCCAGTATTCCTTTAACACCATGTAATTAAACACATGTCGTAGTGATGCCCTTTCGTGTGTACTCATTAGGTTAATAAAAAACTTGGTAACCATATACCGCAGTTAGACACGACGTGCATGAACATCTAACATTCTAGATAGCTATTGGTGCATAATTTTTGGACCGTATTGTTGTTGTACTTCAATTACCTCTAATAACTGGCCTGTGGATATGCTTCTTCGACATTCATTAACTGAAAGTCGTTGTCTGCTGCTTGTGTGTTAGCGCTTATCTTTGGTATCACTTAATTTCTAAATTCCTGTACTTCTCAGTTTTCAGTCTAATGCCCACAAATAGTTCTAATCAGGTGACCGTATGCTCCGAATATATGTGTGTGTGAGTAGAAGCTATTGCTTCCAGTTTAATGAGATTAATTCCCGTATATCACAATATGTAGATTGAGACTCTTCAAGGAACTTGACTTCGTGACCTATATGATGCTAATCTTGTCTGTCTAAATGATTCAAGTTCAGTATGACAAGATAGGCGTAGCTTAAGCAGAAACTAATAGATAGACCCTCGGTGGTCTATTTCCAATAACTTATGCTTTAAGATGCTCAAATGACGAAGTCGATCAACCGAAACACTAAGTACAACTACATTTAAACATGAAACATGTATATCACATCTGTTTATCATCTCTCAGAACTACCTATATTCTGCTAATGAATTCGCTGTCTTTGCATCTTCCTTCTCTAGTAATTCTTTGTCAGTAATAATAGGAGATTCCGGTCCCTGTGACTGGAGTCCCGTCACGCCACTAGATCGTGAAAATATTACCAACTTCTCAAGTGGACTTGACAGCACGCTGGATGCGGCGTTTCAAGATGACTGACTGTTACGTTCCGTCGCCAATTTACTGTTATGTACTGCTGAGTAGTTAATTGTCCTGACGCCAAAAGGGGAAAATCAGAAGGCCACCACGTTCACGATGATATGTGTATTTTCCAACAAAGGAAATTGACTGTCTCACAAGTGTGTGAGTGGAAGGGTACGTAGTGTACGAAAAGTGTGTATATAAAAGTGTACAATGCAGAGTATATATGAAAATGACTAATATACATGAACCAATAAGACAGACACTAGTTTTGCTTGCCACCATTGGATTCTGATTGGTTGTAATGTCATGTGACAAAGAGGTCATACATTGTTTATTTAGTTTATAGACAGACAAGGCATATTGTCAGTTATAATGGAATATCGATCAATATACACACAGCAAAATATATCAGACGGTCAAAAACAAAACACACATCATGTGACTACATATTACTAACATGTACAGAGCTCTCAGGAGAACCCCATCAAGAATTCGAGATCACTGTAATGAAAGAACATTCACGAAAATATATGGGAAGTCACACAAAATTGCCTTTTCACATCTGTATGGGAAAACTCAGATAGATATTACTTTCAGTACAAAAATCGAATATCAATTGCATGTTATAAGATAGAAACTGGGGCTTGTTTACCGCAAGGGTTCTACCACACAAAATATCTAACTCGATATATGCTGCCCAGAAGAAAATTTACCTGAGATTAAAAAGTTATTCTTCTCAACTCAAAAGTGGTTCTGTAGTACCCCTATACCAACTGTAAACATGCTTTTCAATCTAATTTGTAAACTTGTATTATATGTGTATACAGACCGATTTTATATGTACTTCGCAAACATTTGTCATTTTACTGTTGAATATTACCTTGACACAATTTCGAATTTGACTACTGCTACAATCTTCGCAAGTGCCTTTTGATTTACGTCGTGGGCGTCGAGTAGCCACAACGTCTGCGCACATTAATAAGAACGAAGAAATACTAGAATATACGTGTACGGCAGTTCAGTCAAATAACGCACGCAACAAAATTGGTGAGCCCGACGTCATATTTCGACAGCGACGACAAATTGGTGACCTTGACGATAACTGGTTCACCCCGACGACAAATTGACCATCGCGACGACAACTTTTTCACCTCGACGATAACTCGTTCACTGCGACGATAACTTGTTGACTCCGACGACAACTTGTTCACCACGACGCATCATTACACTTGCTGGATTATTTAAACTCTAACTTTATCGGATATATATACATATAATAGACATTTCGAGCTCATTCTTGTGCTTTCTCATCGCACAACTTGCAGTAATCTGTGGTAAGCATCTGCATTGCATGTTTTCTGTTTTACCATATTCTTGGTGTGCATAATTTTTGCCATTTTGTTACTGTTAAACCATTTTCCTACGAATTGTATCATGTCTTCCAATACCTCTAATAACTTGGAGCTGGGATCTGTTAGTACCATTTCTCTTACTGTACCAGTTTTAAAGCCCAAAGACCCCCATCTTTGGTTTGCACGACTGGAACATTATTTCACTGCCAATAAGCTGACATCACAGACGGCTAAATTCGGCATATTGAGTACAGTACTACCAGACGAAATCGCCGAACAGGTTCGACAATACATAGTTCAACCCAGCACAGACGCTCCTTACGACAAGTTAAAGGAAGATGTACTTCGATGCACTTCACTTTCAGATAGGCAAGCACTCGATCGTTTGTTAAGCAATGTAGAGCTAGGGGATAAAACCCCATCACAACTCATGAGGCACATGCAAAGCCTAGTAGCAGGAAGAGATATCGACAAACGTCTCTTTTACCAAATCTGGTTGCGACGACTTCCTGCAAACATTCAGCAAGTTCTTGCTTTCGGAGACGACGACATTGACATGGAAAAGCTCGCCAAAATTGCGGATCGCATGTACGAGAGGTCAACACCTCAATCTATTGCTTCCACTAGCAGAATACCAGACACTCACGACAGGATACAGACTCTAGAACACAAAGTCGACACCTTACTGAGTCAGTTAGCAGCACTGACCACACACACACGACCAAGCCGTTCTAGAAGCTCGTCTCGTCGACGTCTTTCTCGGTCACCCAGCACGTCACGACATCACGATACTATTTGCTGGTACCACCGTAGTTACGGAGTCAATGCACGACGGTGTCGTTCACCTTGCAACTTTCAGGCTAAACCAAAAGATATATCGTCATGTATGAAAACTTCTACTGTCGGCAATCTACGATCTAGCAGTCGTTTGTTTTATGTAACAGATAGAAATACCGGTACTACGTTTTTAGTCGACACAGGAGCAGAGGTTAGTGTTCTCCCTCCGTCTACGCAGGAACGTCAACATCCTGACCCTGCAGTTACGCTCCAAGCAGTTAATAAGTCTAATATTGTTACATATGGTAGTAAACGAATGACTTTAGATTTTGGTCTGCAGAATACCTACAATTGGTCTTTCATCATCGCAGACGTTCCATCCCCAATCCTTGGTATAGATTTTCTACAGCAACACAAACTGCTAGTTGATCCGGTTAGCCCTAAGCTTATAGACTCGCTCAATAAAAGGTACATCGCTGGTACGATTAGCCGTGCATCATCGCTGAACTTGATGGTCACACGCACACCAGCATCTCCATATACTGACTTAGTAAATCAGTTCCCTGACCTTCTACAACCCTCTTTCCGAGCAACAGAACTAAAGCATCAAGTGGTTCATCACATTAAAACCACTGGACCACCAGTTTTTGCACGTCCTCGACGCCTTGACCCACATCGACTTAAAATCGCAAAAACAGAGTTCGATAAAATGTTAGAGCTCGGCATTATTCGACCATCCAACAGCTCTTGGTCTTCACCGCTGCACATGGTACCCAAAAAGTCTTCTGGTGAGATACGGCCATGCGGGGATTATCGAGCTTTAAACAAGCAAACGGTACCTGACCGATACCCCATACCGCATATTCACGATTTCGCCAGCAACTTGCCAGAGGTTAAAATTTTCTCCAAAATCGACCTTGTCAGAGCGTACCATCATATTCCCATCCACCCGGATGACGTTCCAAAACTGCTATCACCACGCCATTCGGGCTGATGAACGCCGCTCAGACATTTCAACGTCTCATCGACCAAGTACTCCGCGGCCTGCCCTTCGTCTACGCATACATTGACGACTTACTAATTGCAAGTGCAGACGAAACCGAGCATGTGAAACATGTGAGGACGGTGTTCGAAAGACTTCACAAATACGGCATGACTATCAATTTAGATAAATGCGAATTTGGTAAGAAATCACTGAAATTCCTCGGTCACTTGATTGACAGTCAAGGAATTAGACCAGTCCCCGACGATGTACAAGCTATCAAAGACTATCCATTACCAGATTCTTTCAAGAAATTACGGCGATTTTTGGGTCTAGTCAATTTTTACCGGCGTTTTATCCCGAACTGTGCTAGAGTTTTGCAACCGTTGACCGACTGCTTACGTGGACATAGTCGTTCATTCCATTTGCCTGCAGAAGCTGTTAAAGCATTCGAAGCTGTTAAACAATCATTAAATGACAAGACGCTCTTAGTCAGACGCCAGAATGACGCCCCCTGTCTCTCATGACAGATGCTTCAGATGTCGCCATTGGGGCAGTGTTACAACAGCAGGTACATGGCGAATGGCAACCCCTTGCATTCTTTTCGAAACGACTGAATCCTACTCAATGTCGATATAGCACCTTTGGTAGAGAGTTATTAGCTGTTTATTTAGCAATCAAGCACTTTCGACATATGCTGGAAGGTACACCTTTTACTGTCTTTACAGACCACAAGGCTCTAACGAAAGCCTTATCAGCAAAACAGGATAACTACTCTCCACGTGAACTACGACATCTCGAGTTTATATCCCAGTTCACCTCCGATCTGCGACACATAAAGGGTAAAAACAATGAAGTGGCAGACGCTTTATCACGTATGCACATTGATAACATTGTATGCCCAGACATCGACTACGAACATCTCTCAAACTTACAACGAGATGACGCCGAACTCAAAAAGATCATGTCTTCTAAAACAACATCTCTAAACCTCGAGGCAATTCCTTTCGGCACGACAAAAGTTATCTGCGACACCTCTACGGGTAAATATCGACCTTTCGTTCCAATAGCTATGAGACATACAGTATTCGAGAAGTTACATAACTTGTCGCATCCTGGTGTTAGCGCTACTACCAAGCTACTAAGAGAAAGATTTATCTGGCCAAACATTAACAGCGACGTTAAGAAGTGGACACGAAATTGCTTGTCTTGTCAAAGAGTCAAAATCAACCGGCACACCAAAGCACCACTTGGTCGCTTCCCTAACCCCGACTCTAGATTTGACCATGTACATGTAGACATAGTTGGTCCACTGCCTCCTTCCAATGGTTTCAACTATATTCTAACCTGCATTGACAGATTTACTCGTTGGCCAATAGCAGTTCCATTAATCGACGTCTCAGCTGAAACGGTAGCTAAAGCTTTAGTCGAAAACTGGATAGCCAACTTTGGTGTCCCATCAATTATCACTACAGACAGAGGTGCCCAGTTTGAAAGCCGACTTTTTGACCAACTAACTGAATTACTAGGCATTAAACGAATACGAACGACAGCGTATCATCCTAGTTCCAACGGTATGGTCGAACGATTTCATCGACAACTCAAAGCTGCACTCGCTGCTTCTTTGACTCAAAACGATTGGTCAACCAAACTTCCACTAGTATTACTTGGTATACGAGCTACTATAAAGAAAGATATTGGCTGCTGTGTTTCCGAACTAGTCTATGGAACAACATTACGATTACCAGGAGAATTTTTCACCCCGGGTAACAAGTTCCACACGATATGACTGGTTACGTGCACCAGCTAAAACGACACATGAACGAGCTAAAGATATCACTTCCACGTCAGCAGGAACGAGCGTCATACATCCCGTCACAACTGACAGACTACACCCACGTCTTCGTCAGGAGAGAAGGTGTACAACGACCACTTCAACCCGCTTATGATGGCCCATTCAAAGTTCTAAACAGAAACGCGAAAGTTATCACGATAGAAAGATTGAATAAAACAGAAGCCATCAGTATCGACAGAGTCAAACCAGCGTTCCTCGACGATTTCGAAGTCAACGATAAGAACCAGCTGAACGACGTGCCAACACCTACATCCATACAAGCTTCAACGTCGACAGAGAAGCCTGCGAAAACAACACGATCTGGTAGACGAGTCCATTGGCCTAAACGTTACGTGCAAGTCATCGAAATATAACTTACTATGAATTTTCATTTTTATTATCTTTATTCGTAATTGCCATTTGATTACTCATTTAACTGATTAATATACAGATCCCCGGACAGTTTTATCGTTCCTTATATATTTTATTATGATTAGGAATTCCACTTTCCCTAGATTATCGCATTTATTGTCGACGTTATTAACCACATTAAACTGCTCATTTTTCAGCTTAATAAATCGCCTTCTGTGTACTATCGCTGCTACGTATTACGCTGATGCATGTTAATTTCGAACACTTAAATGTATTTTTTTATATATTTCAGTGTTCTGGTGGGGGAATTATATAGTACCCCTATACCAACTGTAAACATGCTTTTCAATCTAATTTGTAAACTTGTATTATATGTGTATACAGACCGATTTTATATGTACTTCGCAAACATTTGTCATTTTACTGTTGAATATTACCTTGACACAATTTCGAATTTGACTACTGCTACAATCTTCGCAAGTGCCTTTTGATTTACGTCGTGGGCGTCGAGTAGCCACAACGTCTGCGCACATTAATAAGAACGAAGAAATACTAGAATATACGTGTACGGCAGTTCAGTCAAATAACGCACTCAACAGTTCCCTACGCTACTTTGATATTTAGGTTGATTATGGTAATTTTCAATATGTCGAAGTGCAACTTAACTACGATTGCTTATCAGGTCTCCGCAGCAATTCTGGCCATTCCTAGTTTGTACCACGAAACCAAATTTGCATAAATGATGGATTGAAGAGACACGACAACTTTGTAACGATAAGCAATCTCCCAGAATTTATCACCCAAAACCCTCAAAACTCCGTATTGGGTGATGACATTCAGCATTACAGTTGACTCGTTAAGCTGCATGTCCATGGTCAAGTGTTTACGCCATTTGCACGCTATGTGCTAGGTTCGCTAATTCGTGGACGATCCCTAGCCAAGCAGTCATCATAGCACTACGATTTCGCTTACGAAGTATATCTCATTATTTGGACGATCGATTCGGTGTCCTGATTTGTGTTGAGTGTAAGGAAATCAAATATTACAGAAGTTGAGGGATAGGAATTTGCATTTTTATACATAGTACTTTGTGTAAGCATTACCATTCCATTCTATTGATGAACTTCACTCAGGGTTCTAGGGACCTACTATTGGAATTTGTTGTAGTTACACCCATTGCCTATATGTTGATAAGTGGTGTAGGATTGTCACTGTTAGTGTTGTAATGTTTATATGTGACACCTGATGTCAAACAGCGTGTAGGTAATAACAAAAAGAAAGTTGTAGTAAGTGTGCAGTCATCAGTCGCCGTTTGAAGAGAAGGACGGCATTTGCTAATGAGATGTGGTAGTATATTCAGTGACAAAGTTCAAGCAAGTCACCATCAAGCAGAACTCATCTTGAAGACGTTATATGGTCAAATCATTTTCTCCGAAACCCATGCGTGTTGTATTAAAAAGCTAGAGATTTATGAAACCATATAACACTGAAAAAATGACATAGTCTCTGGGTGTCGCATAATACCTGTTTGCAACGATTTTTAAACATCTAAATAAATCGCCTTAGTCTGCATTCAACTCAGCTGATATGTATGAGAGAAAGAAGCAGATATTCCAAGTGTTCTCGAAACGTTATGAACACTATATTGCTTTCACATACGAGCATTATATATGCTTATATCTATGGATTCCGTTGGTTTGTATCAAAGGAAACGCTATGCAAATCTGAGAATGGACAACTTTGAATATCCAGGTATGTGATAGCAATCGTATTTTAGGGTTATTGCACTTGAAATAGCTTACGGAAATCAGCTGATCGAAAAGCTTGGTTTTGCCAACTAACACCAAGTTGCAAGGAAACTATTTCTAAACCATTCACACAAGTGTACGGCAAACATACGCAGTATATCAAATAATTGTTGCATGGAACATAGATTTAAGCTTGCCGCTGCACAAACTGCACTCTAAATAGAAACCATGTCAAACGACGATTCTTAAAGAAACCCACCCATAGTATCTAAACAAACAGAAAAATCACGTAATTTACAGTCACGTTTATTAAGTGAAGCGAACTGGAACGCACCGGATAAAGCGGTTGCACATTATGTTGACAGAAGAAAATTTCACATGAAAGTTAGCCGACCTTACTCATCCCGGTGTAAATTCACTCCTAAAATTTCACAATGTCTATCCTATCAATCCGCTATTGATATTCGACCCAATGAATGTCTCATACAGCAATCTCGGATACCGTCCCTTTAGTCACAACACAGCCCAAGAGAAAGACGTCATGGTTGAAGAGAGGCACGCAACGTATTCTGCAAGCAAAGCGGAAGGCTTGGTTTACGTGGCGTGTATCTAAGAGTCAGACCGACCATGATGCATACCTCGAACTCAGGAACCGGTGTAATGCAAGAGTCAGGAGGGACAGAAGGTCATTCCAGGCTAACCTTGCTAAAAAACTCCTATCAAACCCTAAAAACTTGTACCGATTCATGTCGGAAAGAAAACCGACAAACCAAGGGGCATGCGCCTTAGTAGGCCCAAACGGTCAATATCTCACTAGTCTGGAGATGGCTGAAACATTCAGTTCAGCCTTCGCTAAACAGCTAAACAGCAATGTGGATATTACAGTTACGGACCAAAATGGTGGCACCACTATTTCAGAGGAGGAAGACCTAGCGACTACTCCCCAAATAAACCCCGCAATAGTACTAAGGAAGCTACAGCGACTCATACCTGGGAAGTCCCCAGGTTGTGATGACATCAGGCCATCTGTTCTGAAACAGTGCGCCGAGGCTCTCTGTAGACCCCTGTGCGACTTGTTCCAACACTCAATGGATTCGGGGACCCTGCCAAGGGAGTGGAAAAGAGCCATCCTTTCTCCAATCTTCAAGGGTGGGGACAGGCAAAACGCTGCTAGCTATAGACCAGTAGCTCTACTCCCAGTGGTATCAAAAGTACTGGAAAGTATTATTGACGACCACATCAGGGAATATTTCGATAGGACTAATATACTGCATGAAGCCCAACATGGTTTCAGAAAAGGCAGATCCTGCGTCACTAACCTACTGTCAGCTTGGGACGACTGGACATCATGCTGGGACTTGAACGTACCAGTCCATGTGGTCTTCCTAGACTTTGAGAAGGCATTTGACACTGTTCACCATGACCTTCTCCTACATAAAATAAGCCAGGCAGGCATAGGTGAGCCACTTCTGTCATGGTTGAAGGACTACCTAGCCGACAGGCAATTTTGCACTAAGGTTAACCGAGTCCGATCATCTTGGCACAGATCGTCATCAGGAGTGTCGCAGGGTTCTATCCTAGGACCACTGATGTTTTTGATTTTCATCAATGATCTACCACGCCGTCTGAGCTGCCCGACTCTCCTGTACGCTGACGACGTAAAAATATGGAGGGCGATAAAGTGTCCGGAGGACTCAGATAGGCTACAGGAAGACCTAAACCTTCTGGAAGACTGGGCGGTGGCCAGTGGCATGACTTTCAACTTGAAAAAGTGCAAAGTAGTGAAGTTGCGCACCTGTAGACTGCAGAATGCAAGTTACACCCTGTGCAATGAAAGCTTGTCCTGCACAACGTCGGAACGCGACTTAGGTCTAGTTCTAACGGAAAAAATGGACACAAGCGTAAATTACACAGGGGATGTAGCGAGGGCATATGCGGTCATACACTTTACGCATAGACAGTTAGGTGCACTCACTCCTGAGCTCTTTCTAATGTTGTACAAAACATACGTCAGGCCACACCTTGAGGTGCATAATATTATTGCACCCCCAATGCTGAGAAGAGATGCCAACCTCTTGGAAAGAGTCCAACGACGGGCAACAAAAGGAGTGGTTGGTCTCCGAAACAAACCATATGATGAAAGGCTGAAGAAATTAGGCCTGTTCACACTTAGGCTTAGGGGGGATTTGATTACTGCCTACAAAATAACAAATGACCAGAATCACCCAAACAAAGGTGTTCTGCCATTGAGTAGGTATAGGCTTCCACGTGGAAATCCCAGAAGGATAGCTCACCAGAGGGCAAGGACCCGGGTGCGCTCCCACTTCTTTTCACTGCGGGTTTGTCGTCCCTGGAATTCCTTACCGGCAGATGTAGCTATGGCACCGTCTTTGGACGCCTTTAAGCGAAGGCTGGACAACCATGCAGCGATACAAGGACTGCATCCAAATGGCCTATCTCCTTAAAATCGCATTTACCAATCAGGGTAGATAATTAAACTCGTCATTTTACTTCTTTACATTCTCTCCCGTCTTACTCTCCTGACAACTTATTAATATTATAATTACTATTATTATTATTACTATTACCGATATATATTATTCTTCAAACTTAATGAGCTGACTGTTGTTACGTTTCCTATTTTCGTTTCTGTCTCTTAGTCTGAATAGCTTCACTAATTATATCTATTATTATTACTATTATTATTATTATTACTATCTCTTTTCTCTTGTCGACAATACCGAAGGACTAACTGGCGAAAGGATCAACTCCAATCACAGTAGTAACAGTCTTAACATACCTCATACTACAAACCACATATAATTAATCCCAGCACTACTCCCTTTGGAGTCAACCAAAGCTACGACAGTCGAGTGGCGGGACAAGCTACGCAGAAGTTTACCGAAGATCAAGAACCTATACCTCACAATCAAGAAGCGAGCACAAAGAAATCAAATTGGTTTATACTAGCTCGTAAAAACGACATTGGATATTGGATCTTCTCTTTTCTCATGTATTAATGTCAGCACCCATATTTTATCTCCTTATGTTTCGAATAAAAACACGCAAAAATTTACCGAAAATTCTAAGAAATCACTTCGTCACTTGAAAGCAGGTGTGGAGAATTGAATTTGCTCCACACCGACTGGGTTTATTGGATGTTGAAAAATATCAGTTATCGGGCATTCATAGTCGCGGAATTTTCATCTACTGCGCTGCAGGTAATAGTACGTCCACTAATCTCGGTTCCTAGTATTTATTTAGCAGAACTTACACTTACTATTTTATCATTACCCGTAACGAACGCTATATTAGCGATTTGTTTTTCGAAATGTCTTATGGATCGGTACTCTTTCACACAATATATAATAGGTTTTGTGGTGTAATACTCATTATTTCTCTGAATATTACTTCACTCTTGTATGTTTAAGGTCTTGTAAACTGGTTTCGCTCCCGGATTTTAGTTTTTAGGTGACCATTTTCCTTCTTTCGCGAGTTTACGTTTGGTCATTTTGCGTTAACGCTTCCTCCATACCCTTAAGGGTTTATCAATTGAGAAAACCAGTCGGACAAAAATGATGAAATACGGGTGAATGATGGTCGAACAGTAGGCATGTAGTGGTGGATTGTAGTTATATGACACGATCTCTACTATTTTCGTTATTTCCAAATCCTGTCTTTAATTTGACCGAAATTTTGTTAAGATTCCACGTTATGGTGGTATATATATATATATATATATATATATATATATATATATATATAGTATATTTTAGTGGTGCAAAAGATTGTAACCGCAAGTAGAGTAGGTGAGATATTTAAACTCAATACTGGTCTAATTGTTGGAGTATACTCCAGCAAACACTGTTTTCGGGCTCACTGCAGAATCGTCGGGGCCAAAAACTTCTAGTGCACAGACTAACGTGGGACAAGACCTCTAAGCCTGCCTCGGCCATTCGTCAGTGCGCCCGAAATCATTGCTAGCTGGGTACTGTACAGTGCTACGTAGGATTATTTATCCGGTTGATATTTTGTTAGATTTAACGCATACATTCCTGTATAATTGTGTTGTATGCACTTGGAGAATTTCATTAATAGTACAACGGCGACTACTGTTGATAGTGGGTTTCAGTAGCCAAAAAATAGGAATCAGAGCACATTCCGTCTTCGGCTTTCAGACAAGCAACTTTTCGCTTGTTGCCCTAAGGTGTTGATGTTGCCTATAGAGTGTCGATGACAATAGTTAGCGTTAATAAACAGCTGTCTGCACAGAGTATGTCTTAACCACACACTTTTTGCGTTTGTATGTATGTGCTTTTTTGGAATAAGAACTTATTGTTACACAAAATATGCCAAAGCTATAGGGATTTATCCACTTCTATATGGCGTTGCAGTGAGTATTTGGGTTACTTTGCATTTCAAAAATGAATAGCATTCCAGTAGCTCTTGCTCTTTGCTTAACTGTGGGTTAAGAATAACTGTTTAGTTATGGTGTAAAACATTTTAGTTAAATTACATTTTAATCCTTTTAGCAACTGAGCCGTCTGTGGTTCGGCATAGTCTACTGATTTTAAGTCTCAAGGCTGAAGTACTTGTAAAATGTTGACCTCCGGAATTCTTTTAACAAGAGGTAGAAAGATCTAATATAAGAACTAAATGATGCTTATGTATAAAAGTTCTTAGATTTGCTCTCTTTATTATTGTAGCGGCACTCACATTTATTATGAACCCGAAAGTCTTTAGCTTTTGTGAAGTTCTCATTTGAAGCCATCACTCTGCAAAAAGTCTGTCAGCAGTCAGTTGCTTTCCAACTAAGAATATGAGACTCTTAAGGTAGTTCCTGTGAATATTTTAATTTCTGTAGACACAAGCAGATGCTGGATATTATTCATGGGGAGAATGTCAATATTGAAGAGCTTAAGAAGCTGTCTATTGACGGTTGTCCTGACTCAGATGGTACTCGTTCCAGAGTGTGGAAAGTATTCTACCTTAGTTATATTTTGCAGTTTCTTTTGAATTACCTCCCGTGTAGTGCCGCCAAACGTGAAGAACGGATTGCCTTCAATCGACGGCAGTATGAAGGTTACGTAAAAGAGTTCGTATTTGAATCATGTGCAGCAAACTCTACACCTGCCGATCATGTAAGCGTGTTTCTTTTGTTGCATCATTTCCAATAAATCGAAGCCACTGAATTTGGAGCCTGATGGAAGCTGGATTACATTTTTCAGAGATAACGAAGTTCTACTGCAAATAAACAAAGATTGCCAGCGACTGTGTCCGGATTTCGATTTTTTCCGACGCCCTACAGAATTTTCATGTTCATCGTTGTTTGGAGATGTTCCTATTGGAGTATTACGCAGAAGAGGTGAAAATAGTGCTCTCCAGGTAGTACATCGATCTATTTAAATTTCGCAAATAGTAATTTTACGCATCAAAATTACCATTTGCTTTATTTATTCACCACTCCCAAGATAAATCCATATTATATGCATTCATTGATATATTCTACAGCTGAGTATTTTATCGTAGTTTATAGATTTCTTTCCGAATTAGAATTAGCGTCCTACAAATGTTTTGGTACACTCTTCTTTAGGGCTAATACTAGTTAGACCTCTCTTGTTAAGATTGTAAAGCAACCTGCAGTTAATGGCTTGGAAGTCCGAACTACTTTTAAGCATAGTTAATGACATTATTAGTAAAAATAATGAAAAATTACCCAGTTGTACATTATTTACACTGGTGATTAGATTGGTATTAAGTAGTAATTAGTAGTACAGCTGTTAACTAGTTACACTTTTCTACCATGATTAGGATATTATTGATGTAGATTGTTTCTTATTTTTCTTGTTCTGCAGTCTCAATCATTAAATAAAAATCTTGTTGGTGCGATGAATATGATTCATACGTCCACTTTTGGTCCTTATCAATCGAGTTATCGACTGTCCTCAGGACTTGCAACTAACCTACAAAGGAGTAAAGGAAGTCGAAAAAATGAATGCAGTGTAACATCGCCACATGAAGAACCACACTGGGAGGTGATAGAAAGAATCCTGTATATCTATTATAAGACTCATGTGTCTCAGGGTTATGTTCAGGGGATGAACGAAATTATTGCTCCAATTTACTACGTCTTTGCCACTGACCCAGATGAGTCTTGGAGAAGTAAGTTTAACTTACACACTTTAGTAAAATTATTATACAACCCAGGAACATAACAGTCCAAGCTGATTTTCAGGATGTTTTTGTATTATGGACATCACAGACGCTTTCCTCATGTCTTCATCATTGTTAGGTTCGCAAAGTACTGACCAAGGGGAGAAAATCTGCAGTCTGGCAAAGGAATATTTTGTTTTAAAGCGGAGTAGTCGTTAGGTAATTTAGACTCAGATACTTAGAAAACCATCCTTTCGTAGTAGAAGGAATTAAGTTTTGCGTAGAAAAGCCCTTATGAACATCCATTAATAGTTGTCATGAGTAATTTGTCTGATCTCTCCTTTTCAGGTAACACTTCAGTTAGTCCAAGTATTATGCTGGAAAACTTTCCTCACCGAGTTTTTGATTTTAGAGTTACAATCTTCCTCCAAATTTAGTGTGTTAATTTCTCGTTTCCCATTAGTGGCCTGAATAGGTGATTGTTGTAGGATTTGTAGACTATATAAGTAATGTGTCAGCTTTAAAAAGGAGGCAAAAACTAATTTGCATTTCGTTTTTGTTCATAAATGTAATTCTACTGTACTTAGTAGAACAATATTTTCGAATGGATATCGATTGTAGTCATTGTCATTTTGATTTGAAAAGTACTGCCTTAAGAGAGAAAAACGTCTGGAGTATATCAGACGACAGCTGTTGTCGCTCATTAGTTTGGTCGATAACACTTATGTGCTTCATAAGTAAGTGATTAATTTGAGTCCTACTGCGATCATTAATATTCATCACAAAGTAGATTCTCTCACGCAGTAGTTCTGACGGGAAGTGCGACAGGCTTCATGAATTTCGTTACTACTTATCAATAAGACGAACGCTGGATTTTATTTATAAATTCTTTTGATTCATTTCGAAATAATTAGTTGTAGGTGTTGTGCAATCATTTTTACTGTTTACGAACAGCTTATAGTACTTTTACAAGTCACTGCTTTTCTCCTTAAAATAAATGATTAAGCACAGGTGTACTTTGATGTCTTTTTTCGTATAAAGACCGGAATTTCATATTACCGCGACTTAATATGTCGACATCTTTCTTTTAGTTATGACTATGATACTAATAAACTGGTCTTATTTCATCATTTTTGAACATAGGGTATGCTGAAATGGACACGTTTTACTGTTTTAACAACCTAATGACAGAAATTCATCCTAACTTTATAAGAAAACTGGATGGTAGTCGTGAGGCGGGACTAGGTAAGAATTTTAAACCTTTGACCATATTTATAGTTTTGTACTTACCATTATCTAACATTCCAACTGATAGGTATTATCTTTTCTATACAAAATGTACTCCGTAGCTGTTAACTTAATATTGTTAGTTCGTCACACTGTTATAATGTTATTGTTCTCTTTGGTTCCGAGTGGAACATAGGGTTTCAACAACACATCTACACTTCGTCCTATTTTCTGCCATCCTCTCTAGCTGACCCCACTATTACCCATAGTCTCTCATCCCCTCCTCCCACGACCTCCTCCATGTCACCCTAGGACGACCCACTCGTCATTTCTCATTCGCGTTTAACTGTAGTGATGAACTGGCGCGCAATGTCTTTGGATGGTCTGCTCAGCGTGTAGCCGATTCACCTCAGTTTTCTTCGGAATACTGTTTGAGCAATAGTTTCTTGATTGGTTCCTTCCCATAGTTTCTTGTTGCCAATTCCTTCTGGACATCCCATCTTCAGTATGGAGCGAAGAAAGCTGCTGATTAAAGTCTCAAATGGCTTGTTGGAAATGTCTTTCGTGACGCACTGAGTTCCTGACCCATATAGAAGGAATAACTTAACCTTCGTGTTGAAAATCAGAATCTTGTTCTTGATGCTAAGTGCAGCATATCTGCAAACTGATTTCAGAATGATAAAGGTCTGTCTAGCTTTGCCGATTCTGATTTTGACATCCTCATCCGTTCAGATTGCTGTTGAAACGATACTTCCTAGATAAGTGGAGGTAGTGACCTCTTTCAAATGTCTCCCGTTGATGGTGATTGGTGCGGGTCGTTGTTTCTGTTCCTTGGTTATCTTCACCACCTCTGTCTTCCATATGTTTCACTTGAATTCCTGTCTTTGCTGCTTCTTTTGCCAGTTTGTTGATTTTCACCTGCAAGTTTGCCAGGAAAAAAGTACACTTTTCGAGCAAGATAGTTCTGTTTTAATTGTTTATTTTCCCCCTTCATGACTAAATTGTTTTTTTATTGAATTTGTCTTTCTGCATTAGGTGGACAAATGAAAATCTTGTCAAATCTGTTGTCTAGATATGATAGCCATTTATCGAAGCATTTTGCACAAATTGACCTCGTACCAGAACACTTTGCATTTCGATGGTTGAGTTTACTTTTGGCACGAGAATTTATGCTTCCAGGTTTGTTAGTTCAGTTGAAGCTTTTAAAAGTTATACTTGTTTTCATTTGTTCATCTTTTAGATAATTTTTGATCAGTTGTAACACTTGAGTAAGCTATCTGTGCAAAAAAGATTTTATTCATTTCACTAGTGTCCAAGTTATCTCGTGTCTTTGTCGCGAGAATGGTGAAAGAGGATTACGCTTCAACCACGTAGACGCCTTTGTGTTAGGTTATAAACCCCGTGTTCTTACCGTTGTAAGTTATAGAGTCCAACTATATCACTCACTTGTCAGGAGTTATGTTGTTGGACTAAGGCGTTACAGTTCTGTTGTGCCAGTGTAACTTGTATGATCACAGATTGGTTAAAATTGGGTTCGGAAATATGGGTGAGTCGGTGGAGGCTGAAATTCGGTTCGGTTTTCATCATAGAAATGATAGAAGATATGAAAAGATTAGAGGCTTTCGAATATAGGTATCTTTAATCATTTACCCACGTTAGATAGAGCAATAGGATAAGCTATCTGTAGTGTTAAATAATGGATGCAGCCCAGACAATGAGATCGTTAAACTCCATCAGTTGAGATGGCTAATATTCGAGTCACTGATGCCAAATTACATCCTTCTTCTTCGCGTACTTTCAGCTAAAGTACGGTCAGGTTAGAAGAGAGTCAACGCTGATCACCAGACTGAAAAGTAGCACTAAACCATCAAGTTACTGACTGATGATCTGAACTGTGTAATATGGGGTAGACTATATGACTGAGTTCCTTGAAATACGAAAAAATAAATTGTTTAAGACTTGGAGATGTGGTTCAAAATTGTCTGTAATACCATAATTTTTTCGCTGCTTGTCATCTGACAGCTTCTGAAAATCTTCACTAATCTTCTTTTAATCCCTATCGTATTTCTTCACCGGCTGTATTTTCATTATACTTATTTTCTCTAATTTTTTTTGTATTTTCCAGAGTGTGGCAACTTGAAGCAACACATTTTTGTGTAAAGTTCTACATGATGTTATCTTTTATAAAGGAGCTTCTCTTGAAATGCACAATGAATGTTCACTTTTTATTTAATAAGGAACTATACAGACAAATCGATGGTGTGGCAATGGAGTCACCACTAGAACCCATTCTAGCCGACATTTTCCTTGCGAAACTAGAGAATGGGCCTTCGAAAGATGTAATCGATGAACTTGAATTCTACTGTCGATCCATAGATAGATGATACATTTTTGATCATAAAAAATGAGGATAAAGCAAAGAACATCCTGGACAAATTTATCGAGTTCATTCTGCAATAAATTTTACTAATGAGGAAGAAAAAGATTATAGTATTTCATTTCTAGACGTCCTAATGATCAGAAAAGAGGATGGCACAATAAGAATAGGTGTATATAGAAAATCTACATCAACTGACTGTCAGTAAACTCATTTTGTCAGCTTCATGCCCTTGAAATACAAACACAATGTAATAAAGTGCTTTGTCCACAGAGCAAGAACAATCTGTTTTGGTGAATGTCTTAATGAAGAACTTAGTATTATTAAACAGTTGCTAAATGAAAGCTGTTATCTAGAAAAATTCATTGGTAAGAATATGAATCAAAAATCAAGGCAGCTCAAGGTACTAACAGTTCCTAAAAAGGCCTTACTGTTACAAATTCAGTTCTTCAGGGATAACATCAGCAAGCTATTAACAAAATGCCTTACAAATGCGGTAAAAAGATCATTCCCTGCTGCTGAATTACGCTGTTTCCTCAAAACCACCCCTGTTTTGCGTTTGGGAGTAAAAGATAAACTGCCTGATTTCTGCCTCTTCCATTTATAGCTACCAATTTAACTGCCTCTGTGGGGCCAGTTACATAAGCCGAACAATTAGGCGTGTTTCTCTTCGGGTTTCCGAACATCACCTTGCGTGGTTAAGTAAAGTATAAACAAAGTCTGTTCACAGCATTATTCTGTCTCATCTTGTAGATGCAGATCACAAGACTGATGTCAACGAGGCTTTCAAAATCATTTGCCGCATAACAATAAATCTTAACTTCGCGTTAAGAGTTTATCTACTACATTTTGCTGAGACCGTCAGGATACACAGTAAAAATCCTAATTTATGTGTCCAAAAGAAGCTGGTTCAAACATTGTCCTTACCTTGACCATCTAGGTTCTAATAATCCTCAATTTTTTGTAGAAATTTCCTTAATTCTATTTGATATTCTGTTTGTTATTCTATTTTTATTATTATAATTTATACATCTTTAATGAACTGTTCCTATTTAACAAATCGATATTATTTAGAAAACACCAATATTGTTATTGACTGCTATTCTAGAATATCCTACATATATATAATTGCAGGGCCAGAAGAGGAAATTATCAAAAAGAATATTCTTTGCTCAGTTATCTTTTTTTAAATTTTCGTGTTGTAGATGTGCTTCTTCTGTGGGATGCACTCTTCTCAGATCAACACCGGTTCGATTTACTTCCATATGTTTGTTGTTCAATGTTAATGTAAGTTGTTTTAAGCATAATTTTGGGAGGAAGCTTTTCAATAGTACTGTGCTTCAGTTTTTATTTGTTCAATCTAGAAAACTACAGAACATCTTTTGAAGTTAAGCATGTAACCTTTTAGTCGTATAGAGAAAAGGAGCTATTTCCAAGTGCAGTCATTCAAACTTTTCCAGCTACTTATTTCATCTTAAAACCACATCCCAGCAGGTTAAGCTCACAATTTAGATTCCAACAGCATTTATGTCCTCTTGTCATTTTCTCATTTTGACTGCTTTTTACTGTTATAGAAAGGATTTTATATTGATAAAATCACACAGTGTTAGATGGTTGGAGGCAATCGGCAGGAAGCCTTGGACCTAGGTTTCGTGCTAGTTGGCACTCGTCAGCAAGGCGTATCTGCAACCTTGAAGGAACTCATGTCCCTTCTGAGATTCGAACCCACGTCACCCAGTGCTGAAGTCAGAGACGTTACCACTGAGCTATTCGGGCTCGCGATTGACCTCCTGTAGGACTGTAGTGGATATTTTGATTTGACACTAGTAACTAATGTGATGCGTCTAGTCCTCTGATTGGTGTAGACTGAATTCTACCAGTCAGGTTGTAATGTGACCACCATTCTAGCTAGCTGGCCATCACGGTGCACATTGGTTTGATGGTGTTAGATGGTTAGATGGGCCCGAATAGCTCAGTGGTAACGTCTCTGACTTCAGCACTGGGTGACGCGGGTTCGAATCTCAGAAGGGACATGAGTTCCTTCAAGGTTGCAGATACGCCTTGCTGACGAGTGCCAACTAGCACGAAACCTAGGTCCAAGGCTTCCTGCCGATTGCCTCCAACCATCTAACACCATCAAATCAATGTGCACCGTGATTGCCAGCTAGCTAGAATGGTGGTCACATTACAACCTGACTGGTAGAATTCAGTCTACACCAGTCAGAGGACTAGACGCATCACACTAGTTACTAGTGTCAAATCAAAAATCACACAGTGTTATACAGTAATATTTACTGATGACAACATGTCGAGCACAATTTATTGCTACTCATAATCATATCAAAGTACTCACATAACTTTCTTGCTTCGTTTATATACATGAGTAAAAATTGATTAGACATTTGAATAAAATCAATATAATTTGTATACAATTGGTGGATGGTGGCTAGCAGTGGAATCCAGCCCAATTGTATACAAATCAAATCCCCAGACATCGTCGAAGCATCTGCACAAGAAGCCGACATGTCAACCTGAGACCGAGCACTTCGGTCCAATCAATCGACGGGAAAATCAAGAATTCAATTCAAAAATCAAATAAGATAATGTACATTCGGATATACTATGACTGTTATCAATAAAATAAACTAAGATGGGAAATATACACTCACTAGTAAAGGAAATAAAATTCACATTTGAATTGGAAAATGAACAAGGAGAATTAGCTATGGTGTTTGTTAGATTGTAAAATAAAGCGAATAGAATAAGGCAAACTGCACACTAGCGTTTATAAAAAAGTTAACTCATTCTAACAGATATTTAGGCTTTAATTCATCTCATCCGTTGTCTGTAAAGGCAGACTTAGTTAAGTGTCTAACAGACCGAGCAATAGCACTAAGTTGTACAACAAAAAGCCTAAATGATGAAATGAAACAGAAAGAAGAGGCGCTGGTGTTAAATAACTATCCAATAAAATCCATTGAGAAGATGAAAAAAGGCCAAAGGAAAAGTAAAAATAATGGTGAAACTAATAATGACAATATAAATAAGAAAATATAAAGCATCTACAGTTTTACCATATGAGGAGGCCACATCTGAAACCCTACTTAGGATTCTTAATAAAGCAGCAATTAGGGTGGCATTCAAACTTACAAACTCACTCAGAGACAAACTCTGTAGGCTAAAAGACCCGGTTGACCCACTTAGACAAAATAATATAATTTACAAAATACCTTGCAATGACTGTGAGTTAGGGGAACTACATAGGTCAAACTAGTAGATTCGGAGTAGTGAGATTATCAGAACATAAGAATTTAGCTAAGATTAGAATGATTGACCCCACAAAGTAATTTGGAAAAGAACTCAGCAGTAGAACTGCATGCAGCCATACAATAGGGTGAGATAGGGTTCAAATACTAAAAAGTAATATCGGTAGGTGGAGAGAGAGATTGATTTCTGAATCGTAGTTCATCGAGTCTACACCCAACATATGCAATAGGGATGATTCAACGCAAATACCGGATATATGGAAGGTATTATTACCAGTTAAATCAGAGGTTAATAAATAATGTTAAAGTGTATTTCACTTCACATTATGACATCCTAACAAGTGACTTATTTTTAATATCAAACATCTTATTTCCCATCTTACTGTATTTTATTGATAACAGTCATATTGTATCCGAATGTACATTATCTTATATTGATTTTATTCAAATGTCTAATCAATTTTTACTCATGTATATAAACGAAGCAAGAAAGTTATGTGAGTACTTTGATATGGTTATGAGTAGCAATAAACTGTGCTCGACATGTTATCATCAGTAAATATTACTGTATAACACTGTGTGACTTAATCAAAGTGAAATTTTATCCATAGTGGAATTATAGGCTACCACAGTACCAAAGTTTTATCCTTATGGTTTTTACTGTCCTACAATTTATTCTTTGTTCAAGAAACAAGGCTACTAGTTGGCACAGAAAAATATACCCTTACTATATCGACTATGAAATATGATATCCTTCTTCAGAGATTTCTAGAATTGTGACTTTCGTCTCCTTTAATTCAGCTAGGAAGAAAGAAAATGTTTACATAGCCTCAATGAGATAATAAAATTCTCATGTTAATTCTTAATCATTGAGCTATGTAACTGATGTGTTTCAATTCCAACCGTGGGTTGATATCAGTTAGAAAACTATTGAAAACCAGGGAGTACTGGGAAACTGTTTCGTCCTAATTTGGAACTCATCGGAGGTACAAACCCAGCACTTTCCGGTTACAAGGCAGCCTCGTAGACCATTCAGCCACTCGCATCCGACTCAATGACCCGTGAATTCTAAATTCTACCAATTCGTGAATTTAACGCGACTGCCAAACAATATCATCGGCGAGTATTTGTCCTCACTCCCGGTCGGATAAACCTCACTGATCACGATTTCTTACTGGTAGCTTGGTATTAATTATCAAGGGCTGTTATCATCTGTATGCGTTTATTTATTAGGCTGAAATTGTGGTTTTTCGACGGTTTTGTCGTTAACAGTTTGTGTGGCTGCAGAAATCTGTTTTACAATTTCCCGGCGCTATGACTTGTAGTAGGTCTTATTCATTCCTTGTCTTTGTCTTATCTGTAAAGTTACATTTCTTCTGCTTCTCTTTGTCGTGAGACATTTTGTAGCTTTTGACTATATTATTTCCTTCCTCAATGTCCTTTTTTAAATGATTAATGTGAAGGACTGAGGTGCGTCAATTTTAAAAATTTTGTCTGAATGCCATACCCACTAGTGTTCATACTTATCTGTTTGGTATTTCAATATCAGATTAAATTGTACATTACTTTCATGCATAAATGAGGAAAGCAAACGTTAAATTTAAGAAAAATCGGTTTTTCTTGAAGAATGAAGGTAGAGAAAAAGTCGTATCTAATTTATGATCGTTTGTTTTGCTTTGTAATTTTTAAAATGATGTAACTTGTTCAAGTGTCTCTAATCTTTTTATCTTTATTTTCTTCGAATTATAGTAATGTCCGTGATCAGCTATTGAAAGCCGATTTTCCTGTAGCTGTACAACTTGTACAAGTAAGTATATCTGTCGAAATTATTGACATTACTAGTATTAATCGTGACTAGTTTTACTATTCCCTCTCTGTTACATGGTGTGTCCTTAGATTTCTAATCTAGTGAAATATCACATTACAGTTGAAATTAGGTAGGATAAAACATAAATTAAACACGGTATCCACACCATATAGGAAGTCAGAATTGATAAAATTATAATCAAATTAGGGACATTCTCATGAGAGTTATATTTTCTAATTTAAAAATGAAATCAGACATAAGTAGAAGTGATTACTTATTCACGGGAAGAGTTATCCATAGAAAATGAGACAGCTAAATAAAGGGATTCATAAAATATTAATTAATTCGAAAGTAGATATGGGTAAACGTCTGCATTGATTGCAGATGTTAAAGTAGTAATTTCTGAATGGCGCCTAGAAATGTCAGTCGTTATTGGATGTCGTGGACTTCTCATTGCGACTCTGTCTACACTCAAGAGACGTTTTATTTCAGTTCTCAGTAATGAGATATCTTCTGTGCATTAAAATATTATATATATATATATATATATATATAGCTTCTAGAAAATGAATGCTCATAAATAATTCCAAGTCATACTATGTCACATTCAAGTATTCCTTTCTTTTGTCGGGATCTAAGGAGTCTTTCAGAACGTGTAGAGCATGTTTCCCTAAGTTTTCCATAATCAGTTCTACCCGGTAAAAACGTTTACGGCAAGGAAAGTAACTGTCGACTTTATGCATTTATGATTGTTCACAATTAAAATATTAAGCGGGAAATCCTTTTGGTCTGAAGTCCATCAAATATATTATTGGTATTCAGCTTTTTCATAAGTTGCTTGAGCTCTATTATGATGTATCTGCCATCTGTCAAATCTTTATTGCAATACTTTTAATTGTGAAGTATCGTCTTCAATACTAGGTTCATCTGAGAAACGCTTTTTTCTTGTTCATTAGAATCATCCCACAACCCTCGTCATGTCCAAACTGAGAAGTAGGAAGGAGCAGGGATATTGCATAACAGATGTGAGAATGACTTAGTTTAGATGCACAGAGATGAACTCATGAGTAGGAGAGACAGTAAAGTATGCATGCGGAAAAAAGAAAGAGAAAACAATGAAACATAATAAAGTGATCACATATTTTTTCCTTCACGTTCCCCAATGGAACATAGGGCTTCAAGTTAGAGGTTTCTGTAGCAGGGTTTATTTTACAGGATGGGGTTACTGGCCTCATGCCCAACCTTTCCTCTTTACTAGCATTATTTTTGGCTTAGCGAGGTAAAGGAGTGCGTCGGCACTGGACTGAACCCCGGGCCATGTGCATGGTCGGCGAGCGTCCTAACCGCTATGCCATCGACTCACCAAAGTGCTTAGCTGGAGACCTCGCCGAGACACGAACTTGGCTCGCTGGATTCAGCTAACCGCTACACCACGAGGCCTGTGTTTCGGATGATTTTTGCAACTGATATGTAGATTCCCTCACTATCATACTAGAGGTTGCTGTTTGTAGATAGAGGTGAATCACTACCAGTTCTCAACCGTAAACCTGATCTCTGTATTCAAAAACAATGTCGTATACACTCATTCCTCTTATGATGATCATTATAATTTTTTCTACATAGTTATTTCTTTTTTAGACTAATTGGCTTTTATTCCTTTTTTCCCATGTTACTTTTGTTAAACACTTAACTGTCTTTTCGACTCCTACGTGCATTTTGTGCGTTTATGCTGGTTGGATTACTTTCACACTTATTACGTAGTGCTTGCTAACTTCTGTTTCTTAATTGACACTTGTCCATTCCCTTCTAATCTATTCTTCGTGTTTGTGTAAAAGAATGCTTAGAATACACTAAAATCTGTTCATCAGTATTGATGAATTTGTCGCTAAATATACATACGATTGTTCAGAATTTAGAAAGAATTCTTCAAAAAAGAAAATATTCATCTCTGTTACATTTTTGTTTTATAGAACATTATTAATCACTATTGCTTGGTTGAATTAGTTACAAATCATATGTAATTGGAAAGTCGAACAAAGTGACAAAAAAATTGGCAGGAAAAAATTGTCTGGAATTATTTAACCATGTGAAATGGGTATTTTATGATAATTAGTCTAGTCGTTTGTCGAGTGGAAATCTATCCAGTAAAATTTCATCATGTTGTAACGGTACAAGACGAGAGACTTGGTAAAGCGAGTGTTTATTGGCAGTTTGGTATCTCCATATTAGTGAAATTATGTAAACCTTTTCTTCAACTCACCATTTGCATAAATCTTCCGCGTTGTGCTACTTCTGACCTCTGTATTGTGTTCCTTTGACGTCTCCTAGGTTTCTCTGTAATGCTGTATAATTTTCTTCCCCTGACACTTGGTGCTTTTATGCCGATGAACGTATCTTAATATACTGCTGATAAATCTTGTTAGTAGCACAGGCCACAATAGTCATTCAGTTAAACAAATAAATCTAAATGTCTGCCGAGATTTGTGCTTTTACTTTGATGCTATATTTCAGAAGTCAACTGATAAGTCATTTACTTCATATCGTGTCTGTAAGTCTGACCGCTATTCGACACGATGGAATCTAAATGATTCTACTGTATAATCGAATTGAAATGAGGAAGAGTAAAACTGTTTCGTAATGCCGTTCACTGTTTTTCGGGTTACACAGCGAAATAAAGACTATTCATCTAGGTCTGCGAATATTTTAGGATCTATTGTTTATGAACATCAGTTGACGTGATTTGCAATACGTTGCAGGAGTGGTGTCTTCCCCTCATTAATGTAGTTACTCACTTTTATATCTTTCTCCTTTAATTCGCTTACTTTGTGAAGGTTGTATACATTTGTGCAGGATATAGTTATCTCTCCGTTTTTTCTTCACAAATTGGATATCTTTCACAATTGATATGACATGCTGTCATATTGATCACATTTTAAGCCTATATGTACTATATTCATACCGTGTTTCTCAGCAAATTGGATTTTCTACATTGTATGAATGCATGTCACCAGATTCTATAAATTGATTACTATGTGTATACTGCATACATGAAACATTTAAAATTATGTTTTCTATGAAGTGTGAACTTCATGTTTGTCATCACTAGTACATATATATATGTATATATGGGTCAGTGATTTAGGTGCTTTAGTAGTTGATTGACGACAAGATTTGAAACCTGTTTCACCTGTTAAACATAAATAAGGTAACCGAATTGTCAGACCAGATGTTATATTTTTGACTTGTGCAATTCTAGTTGATTAGGTAGATCCCAGTTAACCAGTAAGTAATGAGCTACAAACCACATTATAATGCAATTTTAATTTGCTTTAATAATAAGCGCTTTATCTATTCTTTTTATTTTGTATAGAATTATCCTTCAAATATTGACGTAAGGCATATTTTGTTGAAAGCAAGAACATTTTATGCAGAACGTTAGATTGAGAGTTGGTTTTCTGTTTATACAGTTAACTGATATTTGCAGTGTACACTCTCCTGTGACCTATTTGTGTGTGTGTGTGTGGTGCATTTTGAAAAGGTAAGGAAGTGCATTTCATATGTAATTCATTAAAATTTGGATCACCTATCCACTTTTATTGAACTGATATTAAGCTTACCTCAATTTAATGAATAATCTCACGTGTTATGTTACTACTAATTTACAATAGATAATAATTCAATCCGCTTTCCTTCCCTTTTCTTTTTCTTTTTGAAATCATCTGTAATACTTATTGAGAATCACTTAATTATTTGTTTATATATTTTTATATATATTTTATTTATATATTTTTTCAATTGTAATTAATTTTTGTAATGATTTGTCCTTGTTGTCTTTCTAATCAAAATCCCCCCTTTGTCAAGTTTACCATCGCTTTTTCAGTTTATGATTTCTCTTTTCCTGGTACAAATGTTGAAATATTAACTAGTTGTACAGATTTATTCTTATAAATTTAAGTAAGTACCTGTCCTTCTTATTTTCGATAATTTTTCATCATATGGTTATATTTTGCAGTGATGTAAGTTGAATCCTCATTTTCTTCAATAGGCAACATTTGTAATTCTCTAAAATAAATTGTTTTATCAATATGATACAGTTGGATTTCAAAAGCTTGTTTAGCGAGGCATAGACACCTCATTTTCATACTGGAAATAGGAGTAGGAATTTCGGAGGATAGAACACCCTTAATTTAAAATGTATAATTGTAACTGCTTGTCTAAACGTCACAAAATATACTATTGACAAGAAAACAGTCATATTGACTACTAACATTTAGCTGGGACTATATTTTACAGTTGTCATCATCAATCCAGTGAATTTAAAGTTAAACTGTCCTTGTTTGCAGTGTTGACAGAGTGTGCGAAAAGCATGATATACATTCTAGATAACTATGGTAACAATTCATTAGGGCTTATCGTTCGAGTAAAGCATTCTGAAAACTAACCACATATATTTATCTATTTGTAGTGAGAAACAACTGTGTGCTCCCAGTAAATGATGCGGTTCTTACTTTTATAATATTATAGTTTTTCCTGAATAGATTAAAAATGGGTGTAGTAATCAATAGAAACGGTTCAGTTATAAGTTTGTTCCTTGGGTGGCAATCATGACGTAATACTGTTGTTCCTAAGTGTATTCAGAAAGGCTAATCAAATCTACTGAGAGTTTTTTCTGTTTTCATCAGTGTAAACTATTGGATAGCTAATTTGTGTATCAAAAAACCAATTTCTTTTTATATAGCTGCCATAGTGTTAGGTTCAATCTTTGTATCAGCATCAACGGACTGACTGGCGACGAAATATCAGCACGGATCCAAAAAGCTCGAGCTGCTTTCGCTGACTTACACCATCTCTGGCGTAGACGTGACATCCGGCTATCAACCAAGGGACGTGTGTACTGCTCAGCAGTTCGCTCCGTCCTTCTCTATGGCTCTGAAACATGGCCAATACGAGTTGAAGACATGAAAAGGTTGACTGTTTTTGATCATAGATGTCTGCGATCTCTTTCTTACGTTAGGTGGTTTAATGAGGTAAGTAATGTTGACGTTAGGCGTAGAGTGTTGGGCGAAGAGGGAAAATCAACCGACGAGGCTATAAAGTTACATAGATTGAGATGGCTAGGTCAGGTGGTGCGCATGCCTAACCATCGCCTCACCCCGCCGACGGGTATTACTAGCTGATATAGGTGCAGATTGGAAAAGATTAAGTGGTGGCCAAACAAAAGCATGGCATCAATCCATGAAATCCTTGAAAATTAAACTGAGTCAGTCAGGTAGGGAGATGCAGACTTCCGGGTTGTGGCCCTCGGGACTCTAAGAATCAATGACTGGAGACAATAGATGACATGGCTCAAAATCGTTGTCAATGGCCAGCGCAGATGTATTCAGTCTCTGTAATCTTTGATATTCCTTTTTACCATTACCCATTCTGTTTCACTCTTATACTTGTCTGACTGTATTGATTCTCTTCACTCATCTTCTTGTCTACCTTTGAGTGCTATTTGGAACATGGCAACTCAAACTGCTGCACTTCGGTGCCAAGTTCTGTGTTGAACCCAGACAGAGACAGACAGGTTCAATCGTTGCTGTCTAGCTGCCCACATTTCAATAAGTGTGTCACAGGGTTGAAAATTGTAGTCTCTAATGATATATCATAACTACAACTGATTGAGTATGTTCAGACTGGGACAACCAAAATGGCCATATACTGTCAGTTATGAAACAGCTTAGTATCTATTATACAGAGTCGTAATCAACTGATTACTTTCACTGTCAAATTGATTTCAAAGTGTCAGTAAGGATAAAGATCTACTTAGTTCGAAAAATCTTTGAGTAGATCATGTTTTCCACGTCATTAATTCAGCCTTAGATAGATCTCAATATTTTTGAATCTAAGATGGGAAATTCATGATTAGTGATAATAAAAGGGTAAGAACTAATACAGAAAGGCCAGGATACATGTTTTTTTGTATTTAAATAATCTCTGTACTAGAATATATAGCAAAGGAAATGTGATTTTAGTATTTGGTGCTTTTAAATATATTGTGAATTGGTTAGGATATATATATATATATATATATATATATATATATAATGGATGTTAAGTATCGTTTTAACTGTTACTATTGTTATTAGGAATATCGTTTTTATTTGTTAAAATTGAACAAGAAAAGAAATAATGATACATGGTAAACCCCGAAATATATTAAATGAAAATAGTTATATCGAAATAAAGGTGAAGAGAAAAGAAAAACACCACACAGGAGAATACAGAAGACGATTGATTTAAGCTAAAGTATATATGCATACATTAGTATTCATTCATATCTACTTATTTATTAGTATTAATTAAAATAAACTAAAATTCAAAAACCTGAAAAATTGTTACTAAAAAAAATGTTATACAGGCAAAAAAAAACTATTAAGGTAGGTGTACTTCTCCCCCCCCAAAAAAAAGAAAACAACAACAGTTGATACTTTTTGCAGTGGTTTAAAAGTATTTTCATTTGTTAAAATTGTGCAAAATTTATCATCATCATCATACTAACAATATATCAGTTGCGATAAAAGACTTATCTATCTATTTGTAAATTCCGAAAATTGATGGGGATAAACCGATTCACGTGACACAGGCTCTTAACAACACAATAATAATGTATTGATGAATAAATTTATGTTCACAATGAGTGCTGTAGGCGAGTCATTTTAACACTTCCTGTTTATACATAAATATACACTCTTTATATATATATATATATATATATATATATATATATATATATATATATATATATATATATATATATATATATATAGGCTAGGGTTACTTACAATAAAAATATAATTGTGTACAAATAAATGTTGGTCACCACACACACTGTATTATACATGAACATTTTGTTGAACGTTGAACAGAATAAAAATGTTTCTAATTAACTCATCTCTTTGTATTCTTAGGTAGTGACAGTTGTGCATACACAAGTCACTCTACTACTCTTGGTGTTTCTCTTCTCTGATGTGAGCAGGAGATTTGACAGTTTTGTTTTTCTAACTCATTTTGATACATTGCAGTGGTCAAGAAGGATACTGCTTCATTTGATTCACTGGTTTTATGTTTGGAATGATGTGCGTATACACGTTAGTAGTATTCATAAAACATGACTATTAGTTGGTTGAATGGTTGCTTTACTTAGACTCGCCTTCTTTTTTCACTCAGTATAATGTGTGAAAAAGAATATACGAAAATTTCCCTTCAGGGTGGCTATATCAGACTTTAAATAAATGTCATGATGTATGTGTATGAGTTTTTGTGTATGCGTAAATTATCTATAGGTTGTGTGACCAAATAAAAGTGGACAGTAAGAATTTGGTGCCTAATATTGTAAAGGAAATCGATAGTTGGTGAAAGAATAGAAATACAACTGACAGTTATCATATTAAGCACTATTGTGTGTAATAAAGCCTTTTAAGATGATGGGAAAAGGCGGTCACAATGGACATTTACGTTCAGGTGTGTTCTCTATGTGTGTACATTTAACTCTTCACTTCACTAGGAAAAATTATTCCAGAAAACTGTGTAGATGGAGAGTATTTTTTTTTAAATTGTGGAATATATGCCGAGTTATATTCATCTATGAATGCATAGTCATATACGTAAATATGTGTATACCGTAACGGTTAACTTACTACTTATAAAAATATAAACTAAGAGTGATTAATCTATGTGAGAACTGTAAGGCTTCTGTAAGTAAAAAATTAACAAGAGTACGCAAGAAGTTACGTAACAGTGTGTTCTGTTTTTTACACCCATATGCTGCATACATTTCAGTACAGCTAATGGACAGATTTATAATACAAATAAACCAATGAAAAGAAATATCTTTGAAAAGTAAGCAATTCGGGTGTGTTTGTGTTTAGGTTGGTCAAATTGTTTAAGCGTTATATATATATATATATCATTAGTTTTACAGCTGTAATGTGTTATACAATGGAGGGATTATCAACATCCAGTTTTTATTATTGGTTGAGGTTAACATAATCCGTTTTACTTCTGCGAAAACTGATATTTATCATATGACAATAATAATAATAATCATAATAACAGTAATAAAAAACTAAGAAAGGAAGAATTATATTTTCTTTAAATATTACTAATCAGAATGGAGAATATAGTTAGTTATCTTTTTCTAAATAGCATATACACAGAAACATGGAAAGAGTAAATTAAAGTGGGGTGGGGGCTGGGTTTGTAATCTAATTTCTTTTCAGTTTAATTTCACAGTTAAAAACATGGAGAAAGATTCGTACGACAGTTTTGTCCATTTTACTTTCTCCTGTTATTGTCCATCATCAAGATGAATTTGTATGGTTTAGTATCTTTTTTGTTTTTGTTTGTTTAGAAGCCTTCAATGATACAATAGTTTTCCAGACCAGCCAATAGAATGTAAACGAACCATAAAAAGAATAAAAATGTAGCTGAAAGGTATTTAGCTACTTTCGGACCACCCAGTTCACCACCGATTGATTTTTTACGCCGAAATAATATTAACGCGATAGCAGCTAACGCGAATATACAAAATATTGTTACAGAGAAACCTAATGATCCTGGTTGAACTAGAAATTGAGTTCCTTTTATAGCATGATAGATAGCTGCTATGCTCCAGCCTAAGCCGATACCCAAGAATACATTGACGGCATTACTACCTGTTACATTACCAATAGATGAATCGGCATACTGATCACCGACAGCAGCAACTTTACTTGCGAATGTGTCTAGATGTAGAGGAGAAAACCAAAGATATGTTGTATTTAGCTGATGATTGAACGTGTTAATTGGAAAGAAACCATGAATAAATGAAGCTAGAGTCTTGATGATACTCATTGTGTATAGCATGTCCAGTCAAAAAAGACCTCAATAATAATAATAATAATAACAACAATTGAGACTGTGGGACAATGTAAATTCGGGATACGAATAAAGGTGACTCCTCATAAGTCTGGAAATTAGCCTACTAGTGGTTGAAGATATGGGTTACAGGCTGATTAATCTTTTTTGATTACCTCCACAACTAAGTATATTACACACAGAAACATAAGCTTGTTCATCATTGTTTTGAACAGAGTAGCTTAATTTGGCCAGTGACTGTTTAGTTATTGTATATATAAATGGTGAGCACAACTAACTCCGGGAGATGTACACTGTTAGATTATAATGTGATTGACTTAATCTACTAAGTTGTGATTTATTGAGAGGATGGTTCATTGCAGGGAAATATGATAATATCTATTGATTAACGTTACTTGTACAACACATGGCATTAATGAATGGCATTCTAAACAGCATAAATTATCCTTCAACATTGCTTACATTGTGTTTGTACATCAGCAGTATGCTTCTAATGGAGTAGCAATACTACTGTCAGTGTTTACACTGTTCTGAATCGTAGAGGTAATTGTTTTTCAAAAGTGATTACTTACAAAATCAATAATCTATCTAACAACTTTAAACTGTTATTGAATCACATAATTGATGGTGATCATTTTACTTTTCAAATATCACTTACTAGATCGATGATGAATTATTTACCCTTCTAATATTGTTTAGCTTTGTAATGGGAAAAAACCAATCGTGAATCAGTCAGTATAAGTTGTTCAATAATGAATGATTGACATCAAATACTTACATAAAAGTGTTTGTTTACATTAAAAAGAAAATTAAAATAAAACTGTTTTAATATATCAAATGAATTTAATCTACCCACCTGGTAAACTAGTACCAAGTGCAACAAATGTAATCGCGGTCACAGCGTCAGTCAGTCCAACGCAACAGCCGAATGAAGATGCTATATCTCCTATGACTGCTGTTAACACACCAATGACTAATATGCAAACAGTAAAGCAAAACCAACCACCACCATAGTCTAAAAATAATTGAGAAAAAACAGATAAGATTCTTATTACTTTATATATATATATATATATTACACGATAATTTAGAATTTGCGCGTATAAAATGAATGACATGTATGAAATCTGTTCGATGAGTTCGCTAAGAATAACAGTTTATGTCGCAACTCTATGGACAAACTATACTTATCGTTCATTGGTCAGCATTAAGGCAGTGCTACTCCAAGTGTTCATTTTGATACAGGTTTATATTCACTGGCGACCGTGAAGCTACATACTTATGATGTTCAACAAAAACATTTTCTGCTGCATTTGAAGCCACATCTGAGCTTCATTGATTAGACAAGTTATTATTATTATTTCCTTCAATTCCTAGAGAAACATAGGGCTTCAGCTGCGCGTCTCCATGGCGTTCGGTTCTCTGCCAACGTTTTCACCTCGCTCCAAGTCTGCCCACACGCTGTCATCTCATCTTCACACGACTTCCTCTAAGTCACCCCACCCTAGCACTGACGACCAACTCGCCGCCCGCTTCCCTTTCGGGTTCCACTCGAGCGATGGCTTGTCTAGTGATGTCACTCACTTGATGGTTTGTTTCCTCAGAGTATGGCCAGCCAATCCATCTCCATTTCTTCCTGCCTATTTGTTTCACAATCGGTTCCTGCTGTGTTGGTTCGCTCATTGCCAGAGATCCCTCCCTGTTGGTGATCTTTTCTGTGCGGCCATCTGATTTTGAGTAGTATTGAGCGAAGACAGCTAGCTGTTGATGAAGGTCTGTAGTTTGTTTGAGATGCTCTTTATGACGCGCTGGCCAAGTCTCTGATCCGTATGGTGAGTAGCACTGACTGACTTCACATTGGAGTTGAAAATCCGGATGTTATTTTTGATGTTGAGTGCTGTTCACCTCCACACAGACTTGAGAGTAATGAAAGCTTGTCTTGCTTTCCCGATTCTGGCCTTGATATCCTCGTCAGTTACACCATCCTGTAGTTGAAACGATGCTTCCCAGGCTGGCTGATTGTTGTATGTTGTTGTTGTTGGTGGTGTTCGCCAGGAATCTTCATCACCTCTTTTTTCTCTTTGTTCACCTGAAGGAGGTCCTATCTTTGATGCTTCTTCTGCCAACTTGTTGCTTTTCACTTGCATATCTTCCAGTTTGTGAGAAATCAGATATATGTCATCATCGGCGAATTCCAGATCCTCCAAGCTCGTTTTTTGTGTGAGTCCACTTTATGCTTGTTTCCTCATTGCTGGTTGTCTGTCTCATTATCCAATCTACTGCACTCAGGAAGATCATTGGTGATAGTAGACAGTAGCCTCACCTCACTCCCATCCTCACTTCGAAGGATTCCGTAAGTCTCCCGTTGTGGATTACTTGGCATGCAGCATTGTCGTACAGTTGTTGGATGAGATGTATAATTGTATAATTACAGAAGTTAGAGTTACTAATTTATCTAATTTAAAACATGTAATTCACCATAACCAGTGTAACTGCCAAGTTAGAACTCGATAGTTTTTCACTAAGTTGGAGTAATTCCAAAGGTGAGCGCTTGCAACTTTGAGTTGCACAAATCTGAGAAATGCATAGTGTGAAGTCAGAACTTTTCTGTATGGAGACAGTCTATACAGTCGGTTTCGTCGTTACCCTTGGTCAGGCATACTACTATATTCTACACTTTGTTTTCCACACAACATAACATTTCCAACCTAAATGGCAAGAAATCATTCTTCTTTTTCTGACATTTATTCACATTTACGATTTTTTTTATGACTAAAAAGTTTAATTAAAATTGCACCATATTAATTTACTTATGGGCTTATCTTACACTGCTAGAACCCATGAATCATGCATGACTTTGATCAATATTATTGCAAGTCAGAAGTGCAACATATGTACAAACAAATGAATAGCCTATAATCTATCGTAACACATATGTGTATGTAAGCACGACCGTATAGTTCTTAAAATGTAATGCACTTCAACGAAATCTTAATTTTTTATGTATATAAAGTTCAGTTTTCATACTACTCATAAGTAGATTATTAAATAACCGAAAGTAATAAATGATAAGTAAAATAGTAAGTAATATATATTTTTAGAGGTAAATTCATTAAATGTTGAATATTTTCTACATGGTATTGGAATTTTGTGCTTCTCTGTTTATCACAGCTGATAGAGCTGAAAACATTTTCTGCTTTTAAGCATTGCAGTTAACAACACTTTTGTTCTTCTTACCTACACATTTATTATTATTATTGTTCCCTTGGGTTCCTAGTGGAAAATAGGGCTTCACCTGCACGTCTCCATTTGCTTCTGTCTTCTGCATCCATGTTAGTGCATACTCTCTCAACTCCTCTTCACACCATCTCCTCCATGTCACCCTTCCACTGACGTCCCGCTCGCCGCCTCCCTTTCGCGTTCCACTCGAGCAATGGCCTGACGCGCGCGATGTCACCCAGCGGTCTCCTCAGTGAGTGTCCGATCCATCTCCACCTTCTCCTGCATATTTGTTGGTTGGCGATTGGTTCTTGTTTTGTTTGTGTGTTCCCATAGTTTCTTGTTGGTGATTCTTTCCGGCCCGGCCATCTGATCTTCAGTATGGATCCAGGGAAGACAGTTGTTGGTTGATAAAGGTAGCGTCTGCAACAGGTTGTTGGAAATATTCTTTGTGACCCGCCCGCCAAGTTTCTGATCCGATCCGTATAGAAGTACTGACTGACTTGACGTTGTTTGTATTAAAAATCCGATCGAATTTCGTTGTTGATGCTGGCTGAGTGACGAAGATTTCCAGATTGGTTTCAGGTTGATGAATGTGTTTCTCGCCTTCCCGATTCCCGCTCGGTTTGACATCTTCGTCCGTTCCGACTGGCTGCAGTTGAGAAAATGCTCCCTAGATAAGTGAATGAAGTAACCTCTTTCAAATCCCTCCTGTTGATGGTGATTGGCACTGGATGTTGCTGTTGTTGTTGGTTGGTTGGTTATTTTCATAACCTCCGTCTTGTCTTTGCTGCTTCTTCGACCAGTTTGTCGGTTTTCGCTTGTAAGTCTTCGATTTTGTGTGACATCAGACATAAATCATCCGCTAAATCCAGGTCTTCTAGGTTCTTCGCGTCAGTCCAGGATATCCCTGTCTCCTCGTTTTCCACTTACCTACACATACTTCACAATAACTATATTCCACATATTTTTTGTGCAGTATGAACTTTGAAATTCGGCACACTTCAAAAATTAAAATGTTCCTTGGTAGCAGTAGTGGAAGATATAAACAGTAAACTCATATTTTGAAGTAATAGGTTATAGGTTAAGCTGATATATTGGTGAACTTGAGATTTTAAAAGACTGCTGGTTGAACACTGATTCATTTTCGTATTCTGAGGGAGAAACCTTTTGTTGTATTCTACTTGTCATTTATGTAAGATGGTTCAAACAAATCCACTCAAAAGTATCCGTAACTTTTTGTTAGGAAATATAAATGTTACAGGCTAGGTAATGTGATGGGATACTTTTCAGTGAACACACTTGTAAAGTGAAAATAAATAGTCGTTTTTAGCTTTCTTCTTTTTTCATCTAGAAAATCTCTGAAAGGTTTTTACAACTTCTGAATATACCATTTCTTCGTACAATATTTCATTGACGCCAAGGCTAGGTAAGAACATAAAGAATTCGATGAGTGTTACTACGCTATAGTTAAACAATCATAAAACTCTACTTCCTAGTAATTTTTCATTTATATTACTCGACATAATTTACAGCTGTTGGTGAAAAATAGTATAATTGATGACTTCATATCCTAAACAATAATTTATTGATGTAAAACTAAATCTCATTCTATAGGAATAATTACAGGCTTGGTTAGTTTTGTATTTAAGGCAATATAAGAATTTTGACGAGTCGAATAATTACAGTGATGATTTTTATGTCCAATGTCTATAAGAAATTGTGAACCATCAATCCAAGAACAAAGCAAAATCAGATACTTATTGTAAAACATATGTGCGTTTCAAAAGAAATACTGTTATTTTGCATGACTTGTAACATTTCTAGGAATTCACCCTAAATCTGAGCATTTTGGGCTATTGCCTGATAACTGTTCATATAAATTAGTTGGATTTTCTAAATAAGATTGAAGTTAGAATTCATAAGCTATTGAATCGGGTTCCAGTGGCTAAATGGTATACGAGCTTGCCTTGTAACCGGAAGGTCCCGGGTTCGAATCCCAGTGGGTGCGTACTGCCGATGATTCCCAAACTAGGATGAAACAGCAGCTGTCCAGTACTCCCTGGTTTTCAATGGTTCTCTAACTGATATCAATCTGTGATCAAATTCGTAAATAGATTGAGCTGATTTGAATGGTATCTATCTATTTCGTTTGTCCAACGCCAAACTGGTTAATATATCCGATTAACTATACCTAACTAAACATGTTGATTTTTCAAAACATCTTGATATTTGACCATGTGATAACACTTACATCTGAAAGAAATTTTTCCACCTACATGGAATCTGGTAAATTTTACTGAGAAATAATAAAATATTCATCCTATAAACCATGATATTACAGGTAACCGGGAGAAGTAATGAACTATATGACCCATTGACTCATGAAAATTACTCCTGTACATTAGATGTTTCTATCATATGAATCTCAAAGTTGTACTGTATTGTGTTATTCATGCCATCAAGTCAGAGTACTGCATGCGTTTGCTTCAGAAGTATTCCCTTCAAACAAATATTAGGGAATATTTTTCTAGATATTTTGGAAGACATTTTTTTAAAATTGTTGATTTCATAAAACTCTCAACAGTCAAATAAAGACGAAACAGCTATCCAGTACTCCCAGATTTTCCAATAGTTTGTAGTGCACATTGAACCCTTGAACTTTTGTTTGAACTCACTCAACCACTCGTTTGGCACTTCCGCATCTTTTGAGTTTCAACTCTGCTGGACACATTTGGTTCGCTCTCCTGTTGTACTTTCATTCAGTGCACTCTCCGAGCCTACCGCCAAGCAAGGTGGTAAGTTGTATAAGTTGTACAAACTCCTTATTTATCAAGTTTCATATCTCATTTGTATAAAATATAACTCTATCCAGACACACTTATCTTATCAAGCCTTTTTACTCCGATTTAGTTCGTCAATATTTACAACGTTAGATGGAGTACAGCTAAGGGCGTAAAACGGTGAAGTTTTTGTAAGAGCGTTTATTATTGGGATCTACCTTAGGTCAGTGCTACTCTTACAAGTCCTCTCACTGATGTCAGTTCATGATGAAATCCTCCAACCAATCAAACAAAATCCCTACAAAACCAATACTTGAAAATAAAGAATAGTTTTAATGGTGTCACTCAACAAAAAACAGCTAAAAGATGAAACCAGAAAACGGATAATTTCATTAAATTGTTTAGATACACATTTCATACACTTGAAGATAAATTGTATTAATACTGCACATATTAAAATTACCGGAATTCTTAAACGAAAATTAAAATTAAATCAAATAAGCGCAATTTGGTATTTAATGTTATCATAACTAAACGGAAATCGCCTTTCCAATGTGAAAATGTAAATAAACATTTTAATAATGTATACATTTAAACCATACCTGTTGGTGGGACAAATGCGAAGAGAACTTTCCAGAAAACTGTTAGAAAGTGCATCACATAATCCATACACGTGGGTAATTTTTCTTCTTCTTCGCCTTCAGCTTCACCACCTAATAAAGTTAAATAAACCACTTTTTTAACGCAAAAAGTATAACCAGTAAAGTTTAAAAGACCAGTTGTCTTAAAAACTCTATTCATGATATTAAAACCAAGTTTTTGTGTTTGTCTCACATCCTGTTGATTTCCAGGAAAAATTTTCGTTTAATTTATCAACACATAAGGAATTTGAGACTTTCTGCTAGCATAACTCAATCACTTCTCTTACGATTTGTTAATTCACGTATTCTGCCCATTCTTCTGTATTTTTCTCCATTATTCTTTCCTGGACTTCCCAAAAAAGACTTTGTCATATTACGTAGAACACTGAAGACTGTCCCTTTGTCTCAGCTAACTGACATTATTATCAATAGGCACTTCGATTCTTACAAGCATTTGGCCAAAGTTATCTTGTCCGATACGGAACAGCCTCGTTATTCTCAACTTTCTCCTTGTATTAGAATTTAATTGGTGGATGGTGACTAGCAGTGGAATCCAGGATAAAGCGCATTTCGTCCTATTTGGGACCCGCCATCTGGATGTACCTGCATTTCCCAGTGAGTGATGATGTTTCCACCTAGGCTCGAACCCATTGCTCATAGCTTCAACCACCAAAGCGTTATCCACTAGACCACTTGGGCCACGAGAGCCCAGACATCGTCGAAGCATCTGCACAAGAAGCCGACATGTCAACCTGAGACCGAGCACTTTGGCCCAATCGATCGACGGGAAAATCTGAAATTCAATTAAATTTCTCCTTGTATCTTTTCGGGTAAAACCAAAAGAAACTTCATAAGAATTTGCGCTCGTACAATTAAATACAAAAATTCTACCATACCATATTTAGCACGAATTTTGTGTGAAGAGTCAGATGTCAGAAAACAACTTATAAGCCTTTTAAATCAGTAATCTGAACTGCAGAGTATAAGCTGAGATTATTATTACATCTATTATCTATTTATAGTTCATTATGTTTCCACCATTCTTCTGTTTATAGTGGTTTTATTATAAATATTGTCATTTTAAATCTTATGTATGTACATATTTATAAAAGGAGCTAAATTGTTGCAATATGCATAAAAACGTTAAAATTCCACTCTGTATAAATATTATTGTTTGGAATGAAGTGACTATTATTATTTTTTTGTTTGTTCGGAGTTATCACAGAATCAAGTGTAAATGATGGCGAAATGACAAGATTTTAAAACAACTGAGATCAAAATGCACAAATTCAAGCGAGCATTGGCGAAGATTATGGAAATAATGCATTAAAAACCCGAAAACAAGAAGATTAGTTTGTCTCAAAAACTGATGAATAAGTGTCATTTTAAGAGTAACGACCGTAGACTTTGTTGAGTTACACAAACATAAAACACAAAGTTGTTTTGTTAAGCCTTTATAAAGTAAAGCGTTTGGATACTTTCTACTAAGACAATGAATTAAGGATTTATTACTGAAGTTCTCAACGCTACAACTTTTTCTTCAGATCGCCTAGTACTTTTAGCATATTTTCTCCGTGTTGAGTTTACTTTCTTACATGCTATTGACAAACAAAGTCTGTCTGTCTGGATTCAACATAGAACTTGGCACCGAAGTGCAGCAGTTTGAGTTGCCATGTTCCAAATAGCACTCAAAGATAGACAAGAAGATGAGTGAAGAGAATCAATAGAGTTTGTCAGATATAAGAGCGAAACAGAATGGGTAATGGTATAAAGAAGTATAAAAGATTACAGAGACTGAATACATCTGCGCTGGCCATTGACAACGATTTTGAGCCATGTCATCTATTGTCTCCAGTCATTGATTCTTAGAGTCCCGAGGGCCACAACCCGGAAGTCTGCATCTCCCTACCTGACTGACTCAGTTTAATTTTCAAGGATTTCATGGATTGATGCCATGCTTTTGTTTGGCCACCACTTAATCTTTTCCAATCTGCACCTATATCAGCTAGTAATGCCCGTCGGCGGGGTGAGGCGATGGTTAGGCATGCGCAGCACGTGACCTAGCCATCTCAATCTATGTAACTTTATAGCCTCGTCGATTGAACAAACACAGTCTGGTAAATGTTTAGGTAGAAAGACGGTTACTGCTTTATCTGCATTTCTCAGCAGATAAAATGTAGATTTACGCTTTGATAGTAATCCGTAAAACTATACTGCGAGAAAAACATCGGAACATATTGATCAATATTGATAACCTGAGTAGCTATTTCGAAACTAATGGACTTACAGTTGTGATGGCGTAAGAAGAATAAGTTGATGACCATTATATGGTGGTACAGATCATAAAACAGTTATTTAGATTCTAAAATATAGTTTAAGTGTTGAATTCAAGGTTATTTTCAATAAATTACGCTGATAGGTTTGTGAAATTATGTCACGTAAGATCGTCCAGGAATGCAGAACATACAGTCAACTGCAGTCGAACTGAATATGTGATAATAGTATAATGTAGTAAATATATATATATATATATATATATATATATATATAATATAGTATAATTCAAAACTATTGGGTATATTGGGTTATTGGGTATAATGTTATATACAAATTCATAGACAGAAATGTAAGCCGTTTTACTAAGAGACAGTAAAAGTTGACTAACCATCATTTTTAACAGCGCTAGTCCATGGTTTAGCGTTCATTTATATTGATTTTATTGTTACTAAGCAGATTTTCTACTGCACCACTTCTTATAATATGTTCCAATGAATGGGTTAACTGTTTTTGGTGACAGATCTATGGTTGTTTATTAGCTATCCTAAAAACCATTCTTTCTTTTAATCATAACGCCTAGACTACTGACAAGAACTAAGGTTTAAAGATCGACTAAACCATCGAAAAATTCAGTAACTAAGGTACAGATAAGTAACCTGTATCGGACGTAAAATTGTTGTTGGTTGTTATTAGCATTTCCTGAATTTTTGACCCTTCCCTTTAAACCTGGATTAAAATACAAGTTTTTTAATCTCACCAATGACCTACTCAAAAAAGATATCGATCAATCTCTCAGTTGTACAAAAATGCATTCAATAACGTCTTTATATGATAGATCAGATAAGTGAATGGTCAGTTGATTTAAAGTCAGAAAAGATTTGTAAACAAATATGCAAATGATAGTTGAGACAGCATTTTTATCTCCTACCGTATCGATTATTTCCCGAAGGTATGAAATGAAAGGTTTTTGAAATTTTATTCAGGTTTAACACTTGAGCGGTACGTTGATAATGTGGCATGTGTCACTGACAAGCAGTTGTAAGTAGTACAATATGTGTGGTATTCTGAAAAATTCTTCTATAATGGAGAGATGGATTAAGTTGTGAACAAGAGAAGTGAAGACAATTGTAAACCAATTTAAATATTATGAAAAGGAAATAAAAGGAGCAGGACACAAATACTTTTTGCGAATCGAAGTTGGAGCGTAAGGCTGTTGTATTTTGCTGTTACTTTACATAATTCGGTCAAATAAAATATTCTGCTACAAAATGCCATTGTGTTCTACAGTTACTATGAAGAACAGTATAAAAGCAAATAAGCTAGTTAATGTTACCGTGTACAAGTCCAAATCAAAGGGTAATAAAAGTGTCTTTAATATAGGAGTAGAACTCAAGCACTGTGGCAGGGTACATAAAAGCTGGATTCAGAAGTTCCTGTAGCTTAACTCCTACTGTGCTGAGAGTAGGTTGCTAGTCAATTGGTAGACATTAATTTACGTCAGTGTCTAGGTCACTAATATTGGCCGTGAGAAATATGAACAAGGCTGATTCAACAACCAATCACAGCAGAATTAGCGCGGGGGAAAATAAGATTCGCAAATATATGGCTTTACTTTCCGAGAAACCAGAAACAACTAATCAGAAGACTGTGTTTGTCTACTTGAATAAGCTATAATAATGTACATGAAATATATATGAACACGTGCTGATTTCCGTAATAAAAGGATCTGTTGCAGGCCCTTGTCTTCTGTTGTTATACTACTACCTAACACAAAAATCAGGCACATTAGAGCGTGTCACTATTGTTTCACCAGACGTGATGACCACATCACACGCTTCATCAAGAGAATCCCAATTAAAGTAACAAGAAAAAGGAGTATTCCTAATGATTCAAAAACTGCATTTAAACGCTTATTTGTAGTGAATTTCCACAAAGTCTCGTTATGGCTGATCTCTTTTATTCACCTTCTATCGAAAAATCATTTACTCTCTTCAAAAAAGGTTTAAAAAATATATCACTCATGGTATGATGGATCAGTTGTTCGGTGATTTATTCACCTTTATAAAAACTAACAAATAATTCTAGTGTCTCTGCATAAATCTCATTGCGAACAAATATTAACCGAGAAACAGTAGTTTGAAGTTGTGGAGTACGTAACAATATGATTGTACACTTTTTGGTTATATGTAGAAATTAGAGATATTGTACATGAGTTTTGTTTAAAACGCTTCTTGTTAAAATATATATAACTTCCGTGTACAATTGGAAATACACTTTGCTGTTGGAGACTTCACTTTCTCTCTGGTTATTTCTGCTTACTTGCTCAACTCATACTGTGTTGTATACTTCGGATTTATTGTAGGAGTCTACTACCCTCAACCGAAGACGATTCTACAACCGGAACACAGCAGCTACAGCAGACGCAACCCAAACAACTAACGTACCTGTGGATTATATAGACAATTTGTAGTAGAGGACTTAAACTTTATATCCAAGTAATCCTTTTTGTTGATATAACTCGTCACTGTATTGTTGGTAATATATTGTTATTTAACATTTCATTGACTTGGATTATTATTCTCATATTTGTAATATTAGTGAACCTTAGTATTAGTCCCCTACAAAGTGAATCCCAAGTACAGAGTCAGTGAAGTAAGCCGAGGTAAACTACACAATTCAAATTCTGATAAAAGCTAAAGAAAACAATAAATAGAAAGCGTCCATTATTCGAATTGATTTGATGTATTGCTTTTACAAAAATACCTATATTTAATTAAATCTTGGTTTTCCCTTTG